AAATTCCTTAGTATTTTAAAAGCAGGAGGTGAGACTGTGGAAGGAGATGTTAATCTAAAGAACAAGCAATAAGGAACAGGATTCAGGGTTAAAAAATAAACAAGCACTTAAAACGTGATCAGAAGCACACACAAACACAGCTTTGTCCTTTCCTGGACTCTGATGCACTAATCTTTTATATAAACACTGAAAAAAGGCCAAGTGTTATTTATTGTACTTCAGTGAAGTATATCTAGTAACTTTAATGGAACTTCGTATTTCTAAAAGCTATTTTTGATCTGGGAGAACAATTCAGTGCATTGATATCGATGTAATATCCCAGGAATTCATGCATCTATGAAGTCTTTCAAATGCAAATCTTTCTTGCCCTGTCGTGCAATTGCAGTGTTTTGTAAGCAGAACTCTAGAGCTGCTGTAGTAAAGGAAGTGAGCAAAAACTGTGCACACAGCTACAGCTCTAGCCCAGTAATTGCATTATCAGGATTCTCTTCCTTCCCTGTCTCCATTCTTCCTGAATTTATGTGGAGTAAGTAATATCAATATGAATATCACATATTTTATGGACTGTCAGCTATTGCCAATAAATACTTGTTTTTCTAAGCACACTCTAAACCACTGTTATAAAAACAGTACAAAGGAGGCAAGTGAAACAGCTTCATGAGTGGTTTATAACAACACAGTACTCAATACCTGTGTCCTTTCAGATCCTTCTGAAAGCAAATGAAGAAAGCATGGAATCTTGTTTATCATCTTATAATGATAGTCGTTGGTAACAGACATGTTTGTCAACAATCGGAGTCCAGCTAGCTGCAGATCAGAGTTCAGAGGAGCTGATTCAATGTTCTTACAAACTTGCATAATATATACCTTGGGAACAAGAGAAGATGAAAAGGAAAGACATTTCTTTGAGACAAGCAGATTTCCTATTCACAAATAGCATCAATAGTCTAGAAAATGGAGCATAAATACCTACTGAACTGCTTGTTGAATACATAATCTGATTGAGGTACTTAGAAACAAGCATTTATGTTTTGTTTCATTTTTAATACATACAAATACTGTGACCTGATAGAAGGAGACAGGCCAGACTTACACTCCCTAACTTTCCTGAAGCATAAATTACTCTGAAAACTCAAATTGCTTTGACACCATCTCAGAAGTGGTACGTTTGCTTCAAGAGGTTATTTTGAAAATCACCTACTTAAAGCAACTAAGGTCTTAAATGTTCAGAGCAAGCCAAGGGTAAGGCTTGGAAAGAAATCCTTCCTTCCAATTACATGGTCCATTCACTGGAGTACATCTCGGGAACAGTGATGACAACTGACACTGGCAACTGTTATCTACAAAATTTTCTTCTGAATGATATCACACAGTGACCGCTAAGAAAAAAATTACTTTGCCTTCGCCAAAGGAGTTGTTTTCTACCTACATGTCTATATAAATATGTGCTATGGGCAAGCACTTCTTTAAAAAAAGTTGCTCAGCGCTAAAGGTGCTATAAATGACTGTATAATCAAAGTGGCTTTCTATCATGCTACTGAAGAAGCTTCAAAAAATCTTCAAATCTGCATGTAAGCTCACTGCTTGGACACTTCTTGATCAAATAATGCCAAAAGAGGCTTTTTCTGATGGCTGGTCCCATCTCATCTGTACCATCTACTGTATTTATCAGCAGGACTTACTACCATTATTACAGACTTTTTCCTTTTTTTTAAAAGAGTAAAACACCACACTGAGAAGTGGGTCACAAACAAGCCCGAGGGATCAATTCCCATTTTATCATCCAGTTCCCTTGCCTACGGAGTCATGTGAGACTCAGAATGCTACCCATCTTATTACACGACCTTACTGATGTTCTAAGGATATTTAGAAATCACTTTGCCTCACATTATTTCCCTATAAACCTAACAACAGTATCTCTGTTTAGCAGCACTTGGTGAAAGCTAAATACAGCCTGCCCAGTTTCCTTGGTGCTTTTTCAAAAATAAATTGCCAGTGATACAAATGCATTAAGTTACCTGTTTGGCTTTAGGGTACACAGCTCATCTACAGCTGATGACTCTCATGTCTAACCTCAAGACATTTTAGCATCCTCCCTCATATTATAAAGATATGCTGAAAGCCCCATACTATTTCCTGTGTCTCAGCTACTTTTATTTTTTCCTTGTAACAAACTTACCTGTATCTCTTCCTGATTTTTAATATTCATACTCAAATTATTAAGTGCATTTAGTGCTTTTTCTTTAACTGTGGGAACACAATCCAAGAGCATCCCTCCAATTACAGAAAGACCATCCAAATTTCGAATTATATCCTGAAATATAAAAGGTACTCAATAAAATTGTTGCAAATTTTGAATTAAATGCTGAAAGCTTTACTCAAAGTTTCTTTTTGTGCAAAGGGAATTGTGTAAATTAAAACTTTCAGAACAGACTACACTGTTTAAAGTGTTAGTTTGTTATTTTTTGTATTATGATTGCATACAAAATTAAATTATGGTATTTATTTTAAAACTGCCACCTGCTCACAGTATCAAAATCACACTGGAATGTAATTTCATTTGAGAGACACCAACAGCATAAAACCTTCTGTAGAGTTGCCCATAAAATAATAGAATTTTGAAGAGCTTGCAAATTAAGCAGGCTCCTAAAGCAGGCAGAATAAAACCCGTTACATTTTGCTAGTGCTTAATTGAAGAAGGATTTGATGCAGCTTGTTAATTGTAAAACATGTAATCACTAAGCTGCCCTTTGAATTTGGGATCTATTAATTCAAATGAAATTCTGAACAGTCCTGCTTAGGGCCAAAGCTTTTCTGCATCATATTTCCAACTGAATCAAAGAGAGCTGGATGGCAGGGAAGCTGCTGCAAATGGCACACAGCTTTGTAAACATCAAAGCTGCTTGAAAATATTTCAGTAGATTTCAGATTGGATCCTGAGATTATTTAACTTGTCTCAAATTCAGACTTTTAATTAACATTATATAACTGAAGGCAACAAAAGACATATTTACAGCACTTTGAAAATACAGGATGCTGTAGAGAGTTTGAGTACATTTAATGCATACAAATATTAAGCACAGAAATCTTGTGAGGCTGATTAATTGCATTCTTTGGACTAGCATGAAATTAAGGCATAAACATAAAACACAAGATTCAGAATACAGGTTAGGCCAGCTCTCAATCTTGTGACACTCTTAAGCAAAACAGCACCCTTCATTTTCCATACTGATCGGTAGTGAAACGCTGTTGTTTTCTACAGAACAATACTTACTTGATTTACAGAGAAGGCAGCACTGTTACTAAGAGTGATTAAAGCTTGCTCCTGAATTAATGGATCATCTGTGGCCTTGAGCAAATGAATAAGCTTCTGTAGAGCGTCTGCGTCCATGCTGTGGGGTGATGGAGGAATTTCTTCCATCACTGTTTAAAAATTAAATAATACCAAGTTTGAGACATTTCACTTAGTTAGCAATGAATGCTTTTTTAGCGAGTTTCAGTTCCAGTTTCTCCCCTTTGCCCCTTGTTCTATTGCTGCACCCGTCTGAAAAGAGTTTGCTCCCAGTGACTCGACTCCTTTACTTCAGGTATTTATGCACAGCGATGAGATCCCTCTCCAGACTTCTCTTCTCCAGGCTGAACAGCCCCAGCCCTCAGCCTTTCCTCATAGAGAGGTGCTCCAGACCCCCAGTTATCTTCATGACCCTCCACTGAACTCTCTGCAGCAGTTCCCTCTTTCTTGAACTGGGGAGCCCAGAACTGGACCCAGTACTCCAGATGTGGCCTCACCAGGGCAGAGCAGAGTGGGAGAATCACCTCCCTCTACCCACTGGCCACAAACACGTACATGTTCTATGTTTGACTGTACCCAACAACCATATAAAGGCAAAAAGATTTTGCTTTACCACAGCACAACTTTCATCTTTTTTCCTGAATCCTGTGACTACTTCTTCTCAAGGTACAAAAAGAAGGAAAAGAAAAGGAATGTGTAACAAAAGCTTGAGGTGTATTTCTCTAAGGTTAATTAACAGCAAACCTCCCTTGCAAAATTACAGGGAATGTTCACCAAACTTTAACTTTTTCCTGGTGTCCCACAAGATGAAATGTGGAGATCTGTTTGGACATTGCAGGGAAAGTGAATAAGCCTTCTGATCTGCAGCCTACTGCTTGCAGAAATCACGCTGGTGACACTGTGCTGGCGCACCGCGCTCCTCTGACAGAGCCACAGCCCACATGATAAGAACGGCGCTGCTCCGTGATGGAGACTCGCGAACAGAGAAAGGCCGTTCTGTCAGGATCGCAGAACCGCAGGGGCTCCAAGGCCTGCAGAGCAGGCTCCCAACGCTGCCTTACATGGGAAAGCAAGCAGGCCGGTTCTGAATTTCTCCAGGGGAGACTCCGGCTGTAAGCCCGCCCCGCTGCAGCGGGCCTTCCCGGCGCTCACTGCGGCAGCGGGAGCACTGCGCTGCCGGTCCCGCGCCGCCGCCGCCGCGCCGCCGCCCCTCCTCTTCCTCTTCCTCTTCCTCCTCCTCACCTGAGGGCGGAACGCAAGGCGCTCCCCGCCGCCGCCCTCGGCCCGCCGCCCGCCTCCAGAGGCGGTAGCAGTAGCAGGCGCCGGCGCCGAGCACGAGCCCCAGCACGGCTGCTCTCACGATACGCCGCTCGCCCATCTTCCCCGTCTGCGGAAGCCGATGCCGCATCCGGCGCCGCCCCACTGCGCTGAGAGCTGCGTGCCCGGCTCGGATGGCGAGTCCACCCGGTTCGGCCGCGGCTCGACTCTGCTTCGGCTTGTTCTTACAACAACAACGTGAAAGTACCGCTGTCTTAACAAAGCACAGCGCTGGGTACAGTGCGTGTCCCAGGGACACGCGTAAGCGCTGACCAAAGCGGGAGGCACCGCGCTCCCCCTCATAGCACGGACACATCTCGAGGGCTAATCGCTGCCCTCGCTTTTTCACGGGGAACCAACGCGTGTGTGGAAGGGGCGGGGCGGGGCGGGCAGGCCCGGGGCAGCACCTCCATCCCGGCCCGTTGCTACGCGACCGCGACGCCTTGCGGCCGTGGCTGCCCTGCGAAGCGGCGGCCCCGAGCTTCGCTCCTACCTGAGGCGGCACGGACTCGTCCAGATCTACGAGGTAAAGGCCTCTGCGCGGCCTGACGCAGGTGGACGTGGGCCGCGTCTCAGGTGCCGTGTTGGGACCAGAGTAAAGAAGCTTCCGTGAAGTGTTGCGGAGTGGGGCCGTGGGGCGTACGGTTTGCGTTTTTGGCTTTGGGATTCTTCACCATTCTGCTCTATTTGTTTGGTTTCTTCCCGTTTTACCTTTCCCGTTTATCAATCCCGTTTTCTACACGTTTTACCCGTGTTTCAGTCTCCTTGAACAAAGATGACGCACAAAGCAGTTTCAGAGGCTCCCTGATAGTCCTCAGGTACCAAAACAGACTCACTTGGAGGCAGCTCTTACAGCCAGGATTCCCATGGAAACATTTCTAAGGAAATCTTGAGCCAATTAGAATAATTACAGAGCAGCATGCCGGGCAGATTGAGCACTTCTGAGAATCTTTCTCCTGATCATTCCTTTTGGGTTGTTTTTCTTTACACTCAGAAAACCAAAAGAATGTGAAACTGAAAATGAAATAATTAAGGTTCAGAATAAAGGGGGTTACTTAAGGGAAAGAACTAGTTACAAAATCAGCCTCTGTAAGATCTTTTCATTCTTTTTTTATTTTTATTTTTCCTTGTTTCTTAGGTGTTGGTGCTCACGGGTGCCTACAAGAATTTTTTTTGTCATTGTCATTCTTTATGAGGTTCCAGTATGCTTTGTATGGAGACAAATGAGATGATACTGGTCTCGGTATTAAGGCATACCATACCTAAGCTGAGTTCTATAAACATTTATGTTGTGGTTTTTTTTTTTGTTTTGTTTTTTTTTTTAAACATTCTCAAAATTAAGAAGGATGTGGAGTTCTAAAGTGGACATTTGCTTAAGTCATTTATGGTTATGTTGTGGTTTGGACATGATCCACGCGCACTTGGTGTCCAAATAGTCATGTCCAAATAACTGGGGATTCCCTGCTGCGTTGGATTCTTTCATTCCTGTGTGATTTCTTCTTTCAGATCTCATCCAGATTTACTTTCATCAATAACCATAAAACATCAGGCAAAATGAAATCCTGCAAGTTGTATGCTTAATGTGACTTCACTGTAGCTGTGTTCACACAGTGTTTAAATTAAATGTGGGTGCAAAGCTGGATCACTGCTTTTCTGCCAAATGACTCAGCTGAAGGATAGGTTGCTACACATTTAGGAATAGGAATGGGAAGGTCAGGGATTACAGCTGGAATGAAGAAGCTTGTGAGAGAAGTCAAGCATCTGGTCAGGGATAGCGGAAGACTAAAGGTCATGGCCAGGCCTCGTGGCTCATACACCCTCCTTTTGTACTGACAGGGATAGCAACTATAGGCCAGACTTTGTGAGCCTCCAGAAGAAACAATGTTGACAATAGTTGTGACACATTTGTAGATCTGTTTTGGAATAGGGGCTGCTTTAGGCTGCAGCCCACCTAATTGGAGCTCTTCCTGGAGATGTAGGCCTCCACTGGCTTTGCCAAAATGCATTCGGTGTACAGTGTAGTCTTCTATTGCAGGTAGATCTGAAATAATAACATGTAACATTTATGATACTGTAGTGAAATTTAAGCAAGGTGTCATGGTGAATGTAAAATATAGATGTTAGTGTAATTTGAATACACAGTGAACAGCAGATCTTCAATACTGTATATAACAAAACTGTTGATTCTCAATAGCTGTGTATTCCACACAAGGATATTGTGTGGAATAGACTTTAAGGGGTAAGAATAAATTTGAAGGTATGAGTTTATTTTTATCTGTTGTTCAATGTATGCAGAAAGGGAGAGAAAGTTAAAGAGAAGCTTTGCAGACAAGCCTGCATCACAGAATGGCCAGGGTTGGAATGGACCTCAAGGATCATGAATCTCCAGCAACACCCGCCATATGAAGGGCTACCAACCTCACATTTAATACCAGACCAGGCTGCCCAGGGTCCCACCCAAACTGGCCTTGAACATCTCCAGGGACAGGGCATCCACAACCTCTCTGGGCAGCCTGTTCCAGCACCCCACCACTCTCTCTGTAAAGAATTTCCCCCTGACCCCCAACCTAAATCTTCCCTCCCTCAACTAAAAACCATTTCCCCTTGTTCTGCAGTTATCTACCCTTTCAAAGAGTTCACTCCCCTCCTGTTTGTAGGCTCCCTTTAGGTATTGAAAGGCTGCAGTGAGGTCACCGCAATGGCTTTTGTGGATTTTCTGTGTGTTAGACCTTTCAGAACATGAGAGGAAAAAAAGCTGTTGTGTTCACATTAAAGGGAAAAAGAAAAGAGCATGAACTTGACTCTATACTAATGACTGGAATTCATATGGTAGACAGGTACTGAGTTGATCCAGGAGAGGGAGTAGCTGAACAACAGCCTTGGGATCGGCTTTGGGAAATCTGTCCGTAGGAGAACTTTTGAGGAAAGTTATTTAAATGTCTAGATAGTATTAAAAAGCATTATTTGTCATGAATGACAACAGTAAGATTTTAGATTTAGTAAGATGTTAGATTTATAATATTTTCTTAATATATTCCCCATCAAGGTATACATAGATACTTGTTTGTATTAAGAACATCATGCTAAGGTTGTAAGAAGTGGGTTGATAAGTATTACCAAATATTCAATGTGTGTAAACTGAAGACAGTTGTGTTTCATTGTCTGTGCATTAAAAAAATGTAATGTTTTGCCTTATTATAGTGGTCTTGACTTGTAGGCATGTAAAGAAACGGCACAGACTCATGGCCAAAAGTCTCTATTATTGTACTTCTTTGTTATGGCTGTCAGTGATCTCTTTCCTGACTGCTCTGCAGTTACAAATCTTTCTCAGTTGAGTTGGTATGGTGAGAAAGCCATTACATTCAGATATTGAGTTGATCCAGCACAGATGTAGCAGTTGCTTCAGATATGTATATATATATTTATATATTTTTAAATATATTTACTCATTTATACATATCAGTTGTTTTATAATAATAACAGGAGAAAATCAACATGGATGCTGGAAAATGAAGTATCTTTACCCATAGGGTGCATGCATATGAATAAATGGTTTGGAAAAAATTAAAGATAACTGGCAGGGGAGTTGGAACTTAATGATCCTTGGGGTCCTTTCTGACCCAAGCTATTCTATGATTCTATGATAGTGAGTTGCACAGTCAGAATTTGGGTGATGAGCTTCCAGAGGTCAGACCAGATTCTGAAGGCAGAAATTAGACATCGAGAGTTAGCACCATCCAGCTGCATCAAGGAGAACAGCAGTAGTGGGAAGTGGGTTGAGACAAAGAAAAGCAGGTTTTTAAAAATCAGGGCTGGAAGAAAATCTAAAAACTCAGATGCTGCTTTTGTGATAACTGTTGGGAGCTACTTTATTGATAACCAGCAGAGGGAACTATAAACATAGAGTGCGCCCCAGGATAACTTCTTTTGCTTTAATGTGGATTACTGTCTCATTAAAGATGCACAGTCATGTTCTGAAATTTTTATCTGGAAATAGAATCTTTCTAGTTCATAGTAGTAATTTAAATAACCAGAGTTTGCTCATATGCTTTTAAATATCAATATAATTTAGAAGATATGTCTGTATGTGAACTCATAATCCAAAAATAAATGAGCCATAGATTTTAGATGAAGATGGCTGAACACAAGTGAGAAAAACTGTTCATCAGTTATTCTGCAGCATTACTAAAATGCAGTGCAAATTTGCAAATCTTACTACCTGTATTTTGTTTTCGGTATTGATTACTGGATTGATATCTGGTCATGCTTCTTAATTCAACATATTCTATGCTGCACACAGTTAATCTTGTTTTACAGTCTGTTTTTCATTAGATAAATGAAATTATCCTGTTTTATGGATGTTCTTTCTTGAATGCATTTTTAAAAAATGAATTTTTTAATAGGAATATTTATGGAAATACCATGTATTTTATTACTGCCCTAAACCCAATGCTTTGAAGTCTAGCAACTGAAACATTCTGATGTATGCAGACACGTGGTCATTTGTTTTTGTATTCTGTAAACACTTTAAAATGTCTCCTATAGTCAATTGTAATTAAACTGATACAGGTCTTAATCTTTTTATTAATAAGTGTATTTTGTAACTATAATCTATTAAGCACAGAGAAAATATGTGTTTTCTTTTCAGGATACTCCTATGTTCAATGTAATTTGATTGTGCTCAATGTAACTGTTATAATTAATGTAATTTCTTTCATTTTTGAAGATATCTGTGTATTGATTCATCTTTACACCCAAAATTAAGGAGGATTTCAGAAACTCACCTGGACACACTTTTTGGAGTAGATACACAACTGGTAAAAATCATCAAATATATTATATGAATTAACTCTGTACTGTAAACAAACCTTCTAATACCAAATAACTCAAATTCTGTTTTTAAGATTTTTCTCATATTATTTTTGTTACATCTGATGTCGGAAAAGTTTGTATTTCTTTCTGTTGATACTGATTTATAGTCTTCCAAAAATTAACTTCATCAGAGGTGAGCATAGCATTTAGGGGGATATTCTTAAAATGAAAGATCATTGCTCCTAGTCTTAAACAGCTTTGATTTTTTAGAAGTTCTAAGAGGATTATTAAAATAAATATGGATTAAAGTCATGTAACAAGTGGTGTGCATAGTAATGGATGAAGGGAAGATTTATGCAGAGAGCATTTATTTAATTTGCTTAATTGCTGGATAAAGTTGATCGACTGAAGAGAGGATATGAAGGATAAAAGATAATTTCAGTTAGATTGAGCCCTCCCTCAAGCACACATAGTACTTTTGCTTCACATGTTCAGTTAGCTTTTCCTTATCTCCCTGTATTAAAACAGGTCTGATTTGGCAGTGGAAGTACTTCTAACTGTAAAGAGAAAATAATACATGAACGTTCATCTCTTTAAAATAGAAACTTTAATTTGCACATGGACAATATTAACATAAGATTTCATATTTCTGTTTGATTTTAAATATTCATAATACAGAACAGAGCTTCAGTCTGACCATAATAGATCTGGGTTCTCTTCTGCTCTTTATTCATTTTCCTTTGTGCTTGGTGGTAGGTAATTTATGCTTCTGGTAATCTCTCTTTTCCTTTCAAACAATGAGGATAGTACATAGGTATCTTTTAAAATACAGTAATCGCAAGTAAAGATATTCACTAGTTTCTTTGTTATAGACATGTGTATCAAAATTTAATGATCCTTCATTTAGAATAGATTACATTAGAGATTTAACAATGCCATTTTATTTTGGAAATCATAGATTGCTAACTATATCTGATGTACAGCTCTGTTAGAAGCACTAGCGTAAATTCTGACAAGGGGTGACAGCATCATAGGATTGGTAGGGAGGTCAACATTTCACAAGCTGTATCTGCATTGGGCTTGGTGAATATTTTTCTAGGCTGATTTTAGTGATCTTAAAGATCACAAGTGTTGGAGACATGACAATCTCTGCTGGCAGTTTATTCCAGGACTTCATAATCCTTTCTACTGGAAATATTTCCTCATAGCTGAATTTTCCTTGCTGCAAGGAAATTTTTGTCTTATGTACCAGGGACATGGCAGTCCTTCCTTTTTCATTTATGACAGCATTTTGAAGATTGTCTGAGCTAACGGTTATTTTTAATTACCATAGAAGTTGGATAGGAACAATATGAATGTCCCATTCATTAATGCATCCATTATATATTTTAAATGCAAAATGAGAGAGATTTTTGCAAATGCAAGTGATCTGATAAGATCTAATTTATTTAATAGCCCTTTCAGAAAATCAGATGAAGAGGAAAATGGTACATTTTAATGAATCGGCGACATTAAATGTAATCATATCTTGTTACTTCACATGGAGCAGAAATGAGATTTTTAGCAAAGTTCAAAGTTGGTAATAACAAAAAATAACCCTTTTAGTTGCCAATTCAGAGGAACACTTAAGCAAATGCTTGCATTTATAAATTTATTTGTATAAATACTCAAAAATCCTTTCTTAAATATGGACCAAACATTAAAGAGCAGTGGATGACAGCATGCTATATGATGGTGAAAGCAAGCAGGATTTTATTGTGTGATAATATAGAAATTAAGAAAAAACAGAAAATTTATTAAAATGAATAACCAACACATATTTTATTTAAATTTAAAAAACAGCTTTTATATTCAGAAATTTATATTGATGAGCTTGACTGCTTTGTGTTTCCAAGTAAACTGCAGTTTTATAGATTTTACTGCATTCAAGTTGAGTTAGCCATGTTATTCATTCTGTTTCATAATTCAGAGGATGGATAAAATACAATTTGCTGAAAAAGAACAAAAGAAAAAAGGCAGAGCAGAAGATGGCTCTGGCAGTAGTTCGTTATGACATCCAAATATTAAAAACAGTTACACGAGTGGAGCATGTGGGTTCAGATTCACAAGGGAAAAATTGCATGCAAGTTTACACAGTTATTCTACATAAGGGAAAAATCTGTGTCATATAAGAGAAAATAAATTAAATACACTTGGTCCAGTGATGTATCTGTCTTTTTGCTGGGTTGTATTGCAAGATGCTGTTTGTTGACTGGCCTGTGGCTGCTCGGTTCCATGAATGCCATGAAAGGCAAAGTTTCCCTGAGTTGCTTTGCTGGGACAAGTGGTGCTGGTACACTTCTGTGAAGACTGAGCAGTGCCGCTGATGAAAAGCAGGCATGGGAGGTGGTAGGAAAGTGGAGTGTATGTCTAAAGTACAGAGTGGTGTGGGCCAGTATTCTTTTCTGGGAAGAGTACAGCGATAGAGATAAAGTGGGAGGAATCACAGAGTCATAGTCTTGGCTTCAGCTAGGGTGAATCTTCATGGGAGGTGGAGAAGGAGTGAAGACCAAAATGAAAAGTCAGAAAAAAAAGAAATGCTTTATTTGCTCTGCCTGAGAATTCATGTTCCACAGGTCTTGTAGGTATGTTTGTTTATTTTTAATGTTTCCACACAACAGCTACTTTAAAGGTAGATACCATTAACATGAATCCTTTCAAATAAAAGTAAAAATTGGGCCACAAGTGCCACCTTTACCTATGGGCTTATGCTCAGATAGTTGTGTATGGCTCACACATTGCTTTTACAGAGCTGAAGTGCCATGCTATCGTTTCCCCTGTTCTTTCCTGTTACTAGCTTCTTTCTTCTCTTCTAAGTATTACTTTCAAACAAAGCAGCTTTTGTTAATTCCAAATTCATAGGGGCAGGGGAGGCATTTATTGTGCATAACTACACCATATATTCCCTTCTATGACATATGGATAAGCTCCATTCAGTGTGCTGGTACCAATATAAGTGTCGGGTTGCACTGTAAACAAGTTAACTGCAATGACTGGGAATTAAGAAAAAGAGAAGAAGGAGTAGAAAAAGTGTTGATTTTTTTTTCCTTGAATAACCGCTGATGACTTCTGGGATCTGTTTGCAGTAGATTTCTGTTACACTGTGACCCAAACCAAGGAAGGAGTGGTGTGTGGGAAAAGTTCAAGAGCGAGCCGTGTGTTTTGAGAAAGAGTTAGAGAAGCTTGCCCATGTGTTGTCAGACCCCAACTGATTTACACCAAAGCATGTCAATGTAGGTGCAGTTTTAACTTGCCTTCCACAAACAAAAATGGGTCTTAAATATTCCTTTGTCATTATTTGGTTTATTTTAGTAGAATTTCAAGACTTTTGTTGTTGTTGTTAAAATAATAGTAGATAAGTGATTCTGTATTGCCTGTTTAATGTAACAAATTTTATGTTTTACACCTTGAATGATGATTGACTTTTTTTTGCAGAAAATTGCAGTAATCTCACTTATCTCCTCTCATCTTTTAGTGGCTATGAAGAGCATTTTTCCATTGCATTTGCAATGCATTTTACATAGAGACTACTGTGGATTTGGGGGTTTTTTTGTTTGCTTGTTTTGGTTTTGTCTTTGCTGGTTTTTTTTAGATTGGTGCCCTGGACTAAAGAAAACTTTTTTTTTTTTTTAACTTTTTAAAAAATTACTTTGTTTTTGTTTGCATTAATTCTGATTCAAATGATCTTACCATCAAACATAAAACATTTCACAGAAAAAGCCCTATTACAGATTTGTGATTAAATAGAACACTTTTGATGTACTAATTAATTTTTATGTGTATATTTAATATTTTAGTGATATTTTTTATTTTACTTTTGTTGATATGCTTACGTGATGGAAACAAAGCATCCTGACCACATTGTTCTAGCTGCTTCAGTTTGAGTTAGGTGCAACCTCTGAAGGATGGAGGTATTCTTTTCTTCAGTATCAGATCAGCATGTATTGCTCACTCCATTCTGACATCCAGAAGTTTCTACAAACTAAGAAGAACAAGAAATCAGGAAATTTGTCAGGGAGATGGAGACTGGAACTTTTAAGAGAAGTAAAGGGGTTTGTTTACAGTGGGTAGAAGCTCTTAATCCAAGCCCAGAAGATGATAAAAAGCAGTTTATTTTCTCAAAGATAAGACTATATGGAGATTATGCAGCTCTGTAAGACTGTGAGAGCCCTGAAAGCAAGATTAGAGGAGAATCTACTGCAAGGGCACAGCTAGTAGGGAGAGATTTCATTCAAAACATTCTAAACCAGTTTAAGTGTGTTTGTTTGTTGAAAAGGTTGCTTTTTTTTTTTTTTTTTCTGTTAGAAAATGTAGCTTGTTAATAATATACTAACTTCTAGAAGAGGAGGTAGTTCTACCCAGATTCAAGAAGTTCCAGATAAAAATGAGTCTTTGTATTCAGACTGGTAACAATATGTATAAGAAGTAGTGCTTAATCTGGGCAATATTTAAGAAAAACAACAAAATTGTTAAGCATCGGATGGAAGACCTTCAGTTTTAGAGGACAGTTTGGCTATGTTACAGGTTTGTTACTGCAAGTAATTGCAGTTGGGTGATACACTGTAAATGCAGGTAAAATGTTTTCTTCTGTAGCTTATGTAGAAGCTTTTATTTGTCCTATCAAGTCTCTCTGCTAATTTAACACTGAGAAGACATTTAAGTGATATTTCAGTAAAACACAGTGTGTTTTTCTTTTATATATTGTGCACTATGGCCTATAGTAAACTCAGAATTTGGGTTTTTTTGCAACAAAGCTTAAACCTCAAAAACAGATAGCTAATTTTCATCATGTGCCTAATGCCACTGAAGTCACAGGAAACTTGGATCTGTAAGCCTTTGCTAAATTGTGTATGTAGTTCTAGTGCTGTCATGCACATACAACACAGGCAGACCTGTCACCAAAAATCAACATACTTTAAGTCTTATTGATGTCATCTGTATGATTTCCACTGTTGGTGCATATGGTTTTCATGAACGTGAGGTTGGTTTATTTTGGCCAAGTCCATCAACAGAGTCCATCTGTGCTATTTTCTTACTACTGGCTCATACAGTAACCAGTGAATTTCTGCTGTCAAATGATTCAGCCATGGGCCCCATCCAGCAGCAGTGATATCTCTCCTGAAGAACTTGGGAATCATAACACCCATACCTCTAATTTCTCAGACACTGGTGCATGTTAAGGAAGACTCTCTAATCTGAGCTCCTCTTCCAAAACAAAGCACTCAAAGGGCAATGTTTCCTCCCATAGAAGTGTAAACTCCAATAACACAGAGGGAGAGATTAATTTTTGGTACAAGAAGTAAAATGAACAAAATTTGATCTACAGGGCCACATCCTAAGTTTCTGTTTCTTAGTAAGATAATATTATATGCCAAAATATTATATAAACTACCACAGTATATAAGACATATTATATAAAACATTATTATTGCATGTGTCCACACCTATCAGACTTTTCATAACTGCGAATAAGTAATTGATCGAGTTCTCAGAAAGACTGAGGTCTGCAATAGCATTTTTCTTCATTAAAAAAATTCTGTGGTAATGTAATCTTTCTGTTAGTTCCATATGAACAATATCAACAGTAGCCCTCCTTATTTTCCAGTTTGGGAGAGAGTTGTTTCTATCTTCTTAATCCCCAAGCCCTGTTTTTTTAACATCCAAACTGTGAGCTCAAAGTGTGTTATTCTTATACCTCTTCTGTTTTGACTTAGAGGCACTTATCTCAAAACAAAATCTACAGCAGTTACTTATGGCTTAAAGTTATTTACAGCTATATTGGACAGTGTATGTAAATCTCTCTCACAAAATGTGGGATTCAGCTTGTAGGCTGAGACCTCAAAAGACAAAATTCTATCAATAAGCCGAGAATTAGTCAGCTGAGCAAGCACAGCTGTTGCTGTGACCTGCAAATGAGCAGCGTGGTGTAGTGGTTTTAGTCTGCCAACTGCATCTTGCTTGAGGAATAAAATTATCGTTATTAATAGCTCAAACAAGAAGGAATAGCTATTTATCATACATTGCTTGTAGTTCTTTGGAGAGGGTAATGTTGATGGTGCATTCTTTTTCTTAGGTTGCTGGGATCCTTGGTACTTGAGGACAGGGTGGAGGAGTTGGGAAGACTCAGCCATGTGTGGGTGCTGCTGCTGCAGAAAATTAGATCTCTCATAATATGTGATATCTATGCACACAAAAGCCAGAATCCACATAAAAAAATTTGAGTGATAACTATTGGGTAGTATGCAGCCATTCTTTTTTATTAATGCTACAGAGCAGCTGTAAAAGTACAAAAAAAAAGATTTATCTTCTGTTTACATACAAAATTAATTTTATAGCCATCATAAATCAAAAATACTGTCAAGTGTTACCTAAGTGGCTTAGCAGAAAATGTTAATGTTTTCCACTTCTCATGCAATTCCAACTCTGAGGTCTGGATCTGAAAAGCAAGGTAGTTTGCCAGCCTAGACATTGGTCCCAACATAGAGAATGATTTTACGTGCACTTATGAGAAGAATCAAGTAGAAGATGAAAACAATACTGATTTTTAATAGGAAATAATAAGGCATAAGAAAAAAAAGTTGAATAACTTACACAGTTTTAACCCATATTTCTGTGACCCATGTATAAAGGTGTAATTCTAGGAAGAAGAATTATTTTTGTAATTATTTAAATAGTGTTTACATATCTAAAATCCAAAAGTGATACTTATTAAAATTTTATTTCATAAAATCATAGCATCATAGAATCATTTCAGCTGGAAGGGAGCCTTAAAGGTCATCTAGTCCAACTCCACTGCAATAAATAGAAACATAAAGCAAAATTACTTCTATTGATTGAATGAATTAAGATCCAGTGATCCAGTCTCTAAATTTAAAACATATCCATACAGTGATGGTTTAGTACTGCTTAACCATGGTCAATCAAGTTTTCAGTATTCAAATTCCTCAGAATGTCAGGTTTGCTGAGGATCATGGACCTGCAACTGTAGTTGAAAAGAAACTGTCTCAGCCCTTATTGTCATTCACTCATTCTTGCCCCAGCACTATTCTCTCCTTCGTGTTCATTACAGTCATTTATATGACTTTGTAGTGATCTGCACTGGGGAACAAGTCTGTTAGAAAAAATAGCCTCTTTTCTCCTTCCAGTGAATCAGTTGGTTCTGTTCTTTAGTCCAGCTGTACAAGCACTTAGTTGGTAGGGGGGAAGAGATGGGGATTGAGTAGGGGGGAAATGGGTGAAGGGGTGAACCTGCATCTTAGGATAGCAGCTGCAGATTTTGCTGATGGAAAAGCACGTGTCCAGCCTAAGCTTATTGGGATCCATCACTGAGACATTTCTTAGTGATGAGGCATGCTGAGCTGTCATGGGCTGTGCTGTGATGTATGGGAGCACAGCTGTAATACATCTTTCTGAGTGTTACCCCAAGTGAAGCTGGGACACAAGGTAAGGGAGCCAATTCTCTGAGGTTGTTTTGGTGTAGAGAGGGTTAAGGACTGGAATGAACAAATACAAAGATACGGAGGCATTCCAACTAGGGGTGTGCCTAGATGCGACTTGGAAGTGTGAGGCATTGGGTTGCACCTCTTGCAGGTTGTCTTAAAGTACATATGGAAGGACAGGTGGAGACAGCTGTGCTGGAAGTATTTTTGCAAGTATTTTTTGTGTATGTGATACGAAATAAATGGTACAAGCTATTACATAAGTGCTCTTGAAGGTGCCTGTGCCAAAAAATAATGGCTTTATTTATGTGTAAATTGCAGAGGGAACAAAAATTATTACAGAAGAGCTGGGAGCTGCCCATATACATTGAGAACTGTTGCTGTGGAGAAAGAACATCAAATCCTAATTTAGGTGCTTCCATTTTGGATTAAAAAAGAAAATACAGCTTTCTGGTTCCAGAGAAAAGTACAAACCTGTATTTCTGTCACCTAGTTATTCAGCTGTGTTTTATTCAGTGCAGTAAATACAGAAAGAACTCTTCTGTTTACTAGCAACAGTGTCCATTTGCTAAATATCTGTGACCATTTGACACTGCTGAAGGAAGAGATGCCATTCAGAGGGACCTCGACAGGCTAGAAAGGTGGGCCAGGATGAATGTGATGAGGTTCAACACGGCAAAGTGCAGAGTTTTGCACTTGGGCCAGAGGAATCCCAGGCATCCACACAGACTGGAAGGAGCAGTCCTTGAGAGCAGCTCTGTAGAGAAGGACCTGGGGGTCCTGAAGGCTCGGAAGGCAAATGGTACCCTGGGCTGATGATAAGACAGGTGGCCAGCAGAGACAGGGAGGTGATTGTCCCCCTCTACTCTGCTCTTGTGAGGCTCCATCTGGAGTACTGCATCCAGGTCTGGAGTCCCCAGTACAGGAAGGACAGGGAGCTGTTGAAGAGGGTCCAGAGGAGAGCCATGAAGATGATCAGGAGAATGGAGCACCTCCCCTGTGAAGACAAGCTGAGGGAGCTGGGCTTGTTCAGCCTGAAGAAGGCTGCGGGGTGACCTCATTGCAGCCTTTCAATACCTAAAGGGAGCCTGTAAACAGGAAGGGAATCAACTCTTTGAAAGGGTTGATAACTGCAGGACAAGGGGAAATGGTTTTTAGTTGAGGGAGGGAAGATTTAGGTTGGATGTCTGGGAAATTCTTTACAGAGAGAGTGGTGAGGTGCTGGAACAGGCTGCCCAGAGAGATTGTGGGTGCCCTGACCCTGGAGGTGTTCAAGGCCAGACAGGATGGGGCTCTGGGCAGCCTGGTCTAAATGTGGAAGTTGGTGGCTCTGCCCGTGGCAGGGGAGTTGGAGATTCGTGATCCTTGAGGTCCCTTCCAACTCTGGCCATTCTGTGATTTGCTGCAGAAAGGCAGAGAACTCTTTCTTTTCCTGCCTCCATAACTACTTCTGTTCACTTTTTAGTAGATCTGTTTACTAGATACAATCTCATTTAACAAGAGGTTTATATTGGGTATCAGTTTGGATGTCTTCCTTAAAAGCAGTAGATAAGCTCCAGCAGGGGAGGAAAACAGTCAAGCTGTGACATAGTTGTTGAATTATGATGTAAGAGCTCAGCAATTTCTATTCATATTATGACTGTCAGATCCTTTGTATTCAATAATATTTTTATTCCTTGTTCCTCTACGGTAGATTCCATAGAATTTGTTTTTAAGCATTCACAGACTGTGGAAAATAAAGCATGCCTGAGTTTCTTGATGTTTTGGAACTTATTAGGAGACATTTCTGTATCTAACACTGCAGATGTATTTGTCAGTGGATCATTTGAAAACCACAATTGTTTTAGTGATAATCTTTATTAATGTGCTGTTATTTAGTGTAATTTTCTGTTCTGCTTTCATGAAAAAAAAAAAAAAAAAAAAGCCTTGTCAGCTTATATTTGATGCTGGAATAAAGTCTGTGTTCAAAGCCATCTGGAAATCATTTACTTTCTAAATGTCATCGTTTTATGATACAGTTTCCTAAGAACATCACTGCTGCAACAGTACCCGAGTGCTGGATTACTGACAGAAAATTATTGCACTGCTGTAATAGCGGTCTTGACTTTACGTGAAATAGATGCTTCAGTGGGCCATTTCAGAACTGAAAATTCATAAGGTTGGAAAGTACCAAATCAAAAATTTGCTTCTGTTATTTGTCAATAAAACTAAGCCCTAATAATAAATAATAACAAACAATTCATTTTCTCAAATACTTCTGTGAGCTGTATCAAAATTCCTTGGAGTTTTAAGCTACACTGACTTCTGAAGTTAGGGAAATAATCCACATGAAACAGAGGACTGTGATGGTCCAACTGTAATTGTCATGGGATTCAAGTCTTTGAAGATATGAGGTGTACAGAAGGAATTTAACTGTTCTAAAGGGGCTGCACATTTCTGTTTTGTTTGTTTGTTTGTTTGTTTGTTTTTTTAGATCAAACTGTGCCTAGCTGCATTCTGAATCACATAAATATCTTGAGAATTAGTATGGCTGTATCAATCAAAAGTCTGTACTTGAATTTCTCCATGCAGAAGAAGTGACACCCACTGACATTCACTGACACTTCTGAATGTGGAGACCAAGCAATGTAGGTGAGCACAGTGAGGTGTGAGTGGTGCGTTTCATCAGTGGTGACAGTGATAGTGGGTCACCTCCACTGGTGCAAATGTTTACAGGTACAGCATGCGTACTGTTAATCATCGTTGTTGAACTTGCATAACTAATAGTAGTGACCATGTTGAAAAATAGTGTTTTGATAGTAAGAATTGTCTCTATTAAATACTGTTGTTGTGCTCTTTGTATCCGTTGTAGTTTCCATGGAAATAAATAGGAGGCATTACTTTTGGAGAGGCCTAGATTATTGTGCAGTTATGAAAATAATTATTTACATTACAGGCATAAAACATTCCTTACATAGAAATTGGTTTAGGAAAAATAGTGTTTTTCATTTTTTCTTACTATGCTTCTTTTAGGTAGTTTCTTTTTTCCTACTTTCAACTAAATATTTTAAACGTTGAGTTTCATTTCAGATATTGTACTGTATTTTGGCATATGGTGTAGTACTTCAGTTCTGCAAATGATATGGGTTGTGGGAGTTTTTACTATGTAAATCATAGAATGTCTTGGATTGGAAGGGACCTTAAAGATCATCAAGCACAACCCCCCTGTCGCATGCAGGGCCACCAACCTCCACATTTAATACCAGACCAGGCTGCCCAGAAGCCATCCAACCTGGCCTTGAATACCTCCATGGACAGGGCATCCACAGCCTCTCTGGGCAACCTGTTCCAGCACCTCACCACTCCCTCTGTGAAGAACAACTCCCTGACATCCATTCTAAACCCTCTCTCCTGCTGTCTTATATAATATTCAGTATATGGTCTTACTCTGAGTCTTAAATGTATTTTGTATTTTCAGATGATTAGAATATACTGCATGTTTTCTTCTGTTGCAATTAAATTTTACCATATTTTCTCTCATTTTGTTTACTGAGTTTTTTATAAACTGAAACATTAATATTGTATTGGCAGAAACACTGTATGGAATTGGCCTTAAAATGACAGGTGAAAAGCTATGGAAAAAGATTGCCAAATGCTGTTTACTTTCAGTCTCTTATGGCTTGAGCTTGTTGCATCCAGTACTATCTATCTATCAGGGCAAGATCTTTTTGGAATAATTAGGTGCCACAATCATTTAATGTTTCAGAATGGTGTTTGTGGTAACAATATTTTATATGCTAAACTATCAGTATAGCTTTTACAAGTGTTGTTTTAATGTAGATGAAACAAAAAAGCTGACAGTCCATGGAAAACATCAGTTTAGAAACTCATATCCATCTTTCTCCATCACAGTTTTTGATTAAAGCCATCTTTTCTTATTTTTTAAGGCTGTTCATAAGAGCAATTATTGACATTCTGCCCACGTTTAAAGGGTTTAAAGAGCTTAAGAATATTAAGAAGTATTTAATTTGAAATTAGCTCTGGTTGTTTTTCTTCTTTTTAGAATAGATGTATGTGTATCATTTACTGAAGCTGTACTTCCTAATGAATAGCTTTCAATACCATGTTTCTCTGTTTTTCTGACCCAGACTTTCCTGTTATGTAAATATTGTTGATCTAGCAAGATGTGCTCAAGTTAGTCAAGCCTGGATGCTAGTAACTCCGAACAGTTCGTTATGGAGTGAATAAGTAAGATAATAATTGTCAATATTTTATTGTAACTTTATTTACTTTTTAAAAATAATATAAAAAGGAGGCAGGTTATTTTAAGAATGCTGAAGGCCTAGGATATAAATTTGATCCCACAGTTTGACCTATTCTACTTGGCTTTATGAATAAAAATGTTGAAGCAACTGAACCAAAGTTGCTTGTGCAATGTCATTATGAAACCAGTGGAACTGAAAGGACAATTGGCTGCTAATTCTTGGCTATAGTCCACTAAATTTAGACTGTTAAGTGAAGTGTCTTCAGCTCCATAGGTTGTCTGAACAACTGCTTGCATTTCCTACTTTCTGCTTCATGGCAGCTGCCTGTTGTCCGTGTAAGGTGTTTTTGTTTTTTTTAATTGAACTTCTGATGTGTTTCATTTTTGTGTATATTTTGCAAAGTGCCTGCTCAAATTTGAAGCACCAACACCTAAAAGACACTGCAATGTCCAGCTTCTAAGTGCATGTAGCCTTTATTTGGTCAAATCTTAAATTACTGAGATGACTCTGTAATCTTAATTTAAATTTGTAATCTTTTTTAAAAACTTCTTCAGCTTGAACTTTTGATAGATACTACAAAATGTAATGTTTTTAGTCAAAGATCTAGTTATCCCTAGCCTGCAGCTTGAATCAACAAAGGACTCTTCTGCTAAAAGTGAGATAACAGGTTGCCACTTCTTGATACCTCGATATATCAGTAGGCCAGTAATTAGGAAAAATAATCCTAAACAGCATTAGGATTTTTTTGCATCTTAAAGACGAAAGATAAAGTAACAATTCAACTTCTTATTTTTATTATAGATTTTCATACTTATGTATATTTTGCATACGCACACATATATTTTTAGTACTGAATTACATATGAATTACATATGAATTGCTTAAATTTTTAGATCAATTTTTCATCAGTAAAGCGTAAGGTTCAGAACAGAATAGTAGTGAATATATTGCAGAAGAGGCGTCCTTATGTACTGTACTTGAACCTTCAAGGTTCTCTCTCAAGTATTCTCTTCACTGGCCAAGCTTTATAACCATCAGTAAGTACTACACACACATATACATATTTATTTATTTTCACTCTTTCTTTAAATTAAGTTTTCACTTTAGCTTATCTCATTTTGCAGCCTGTATTCTTTTCTAGAGTTCGAGTCATAATGAAATAAATGAGTATGAGATCTGTAAAATTAATTTAAATTTGTCCCCTCACCACAATCTGTAAGCCCAGAACTATCCAAATGGCTGAATATTGCAGAGTAGTTTCTATTATGCGTGAAATGCTGTAACATGACAAATAAGATTTAAATGCAAATGTATGCTTAAATATATCAAAGTGCCAGAATCCAGCTACACTGAGATAACAGAATTGCAGAATCTTAGGTTATCTGAGGATGGTTGGGAGCTCTGAGTCTATCTGGCCCAATCCCTACTCAAGAAGGGACACCCAGAATAGAGTGCACAGGGCCACATCTATCAGAGATGTTTTCAAGCTGTGTGGCCCCCAGTGTGTCCTGGTGCCTAGGATTGTTCCTCTCCAGATGCAGGACTTTGCTCTTCTCTTTGCTGAACTTCATGAGATTCTTGCCAGCCTTTCTCCAGCCTGTCAAGGCCCCTCTGGATAACAGCACAATTATCTGTTGTATGCTTGGGGAGGAGTGGCTGGAAAGCTGCCTGATGGAAAGGGACCTTGATGTACTGATGAACAGTCAGCTGAATATGAACCAGCAGTGTGCCCATGTGGCCAAGAAGGCCAATGGCAACCTGGCTTGTATCAGGAATGGTGTGGTGAGCAGGATTAGGGAAGTCATCCTGCCCCTATACTCGGCACTGGTGAGGCCTCACCTTGAGTACTGTGTTCAGTTTTGGGTGCCTCAGAACAGAAGGGACACTGAGGTGCTGGAGCAGGTCCAAAGAAGGGCAACAAGGGCTTGGAGAATATGCCCTGTGAGGAGCGACTGAAGGAACTGGGGCTGTTTAGTCTGAGGAAAAGGAAGCAGAGAGGAGACCTTATTGCTCTCTTCCAATACCTGAAAGGTGCTTACAGAGAGAGTGGGATTGGTCTCTTCTACCTGGTGACAGGTGACAGGATGAGGGGAAATGCCTCAAATTGCAACAGAGGAGGTTTAGGTTGGATATCAGGAAAAACTTCTTTACAGAAAGAGTTGTTAAGCACTAAATAGGCTCCCCAGGGACAGGGAGGTGGTTGAGTCGCCATCCCTGGATGTGTTTAAAAACTGGTTGGATGTGGTGCTCAGGGTAACGATTTAGCAGAAGGACGTTAGAGTTAGGGTGGTATGGTTAGGTTGTGGTTGGACTTTATGATTTGTAAGGTCTTTTCCAACCAGCAATTCTATGATTCTCTGTTTCTATGATTATTCCAAAGTTGAGGTGATAGCTACATAACAACTTAAAGTCAGGAGATGAAGTTCATGGAAAGTTTTGATTCCTCAATACATTCCTTTTTTTACTCCAAAGAAATCAGAATAGATGCATAAAGGTCCACTGAAACTGTATGGTAAGAATTCATCCTTCTGTCACTTAGAGATGATAACTGCTGAAAATCTTTTAGAGAGGTGCCTGTGGAATATTTACAGTACACTATACTTATGGCAGTTTAAGATCAAGTCAAATTTTGTCTACCCTAGATCTTCAAGTGTATTTTTCTAGACTAAAGAAACTGAGAATTCCAGAGTTGGCCAACATATTAATGTAGTGCTTGAACCTTTGTATAGATAAAAGGCACTTGATTCTGCTGTCCAAAGAGTTCCTCTGGATGTGGAAAAATATCTTATTCCTTCCTGATAATAATCGGAGTACATATGACCATGTGATCAGAGGTTAATTCTCTTTGTGATAGCATTTTTCAATAATTTCAAGCCAGTCCTCTTTTTCCCAGGGCAGCTGATGGCTCCATTAAACAGGTAAATGGGCAGGAAAATTTATGATCAGTCTTTATGATCAGTGTTAAAGGTTCAGTACTAGCTGTGAAACTGTGCTTGGTTCATTAGGAGTTACCTGCATCCCAACCACTATTCAACTATTTTATCATGAATAGTGTTAAAACATCTTTATAGTGTTTCCATGAGAAAAGTAAGCCCTTTGTTGCAACTGGGCAAAACTCCAAGGGATGTTTTTGATTCCCCTTTTCTTCAGTGTTTCTCTAACAGTAGAGTATTACCAATGGACTCTTTCCTAGACTGTGCTTTAATTGAATGCATACGTATTTAAAAAAAAAAAAGGAAAGGAAAATGTTTTTATTTTCCAAAAAAGTATGATTTGACATTTTGAGACTACATTTGAGTGCATTTATTATTCCATCAGATAATACATTATTAAAATTGTTGATTTCAGTGTGTTTTCTTTTCCTTTAGAGAGTGATTGTGTAACTGTGGATGAGAACAATTTTCTCTCTCGAGTGGTGATGGAAAAGAACAGTTGGCCAGGAATAAAAAAATATTTGATCATGGTTTTGGCTTTTAAATCAGAGGATAGAATAACAATCTTGATGATATCAGCCTGCAAGTTACTTAGTAAACTAATTGATTTAAATATTATAATGAACTTTGGCAGATAATAAAGCCAGAAAGCCGAGATGAATTACACACAGCTACACTGTTTCCTTTCTGGGCGCTGAACTTTGAAATGTTGCATCCTTTTATGATGTTGTTTTCCCTATGCATTTGAGTACAAAACTAAACCATAGTAGGGTTTATTGTGTGACATTTCCTACACTCTAACAATGTGCTTTTCAGCGTGTCTTCTGGAAAACATGTCCAATAGTATCCTATAGTAATATATTCTTTTAAATTTTATGTATCATTTCTGAGTTCTCTCTGAGTTAAAAAACATTGTTTCACACTTTGCCTGTATGAAGTTCTGGGAACTAATTATTTAGTGCCTGTCATAAGAAAGACAGATTTTATTTTATTTTCTTCAGTTAAATTTTCATGAAGAGAATAACAGAACTTCTCTTATTCTATTCCTATTTTAGGACACTGTGTTATTGCTAATAACGTGTGTGTTGATATAAATCTAGAATTTCATGGCATTAGAGTTGTTCACAAATGTATGTACTGCCAAAAAGCAATGACATGAGTAAGGAGTGACTATAAAGTGAGAGATATTTCTCTCTGCTAAGAGAGGGATTATAAAAGTCTGATAGACAGACATGATCAGATTTTTGAGTTGAATACCTGATTGTGACTCTATACATTAATTCTGAAAATTTGCAGGTTATATATTTCATAGAGTCATAGAATCATAGAATAAGTTATTTGGATTGGAAGAAACTTTTAAGATCTCATAGTTCCAACCTCCTGCTGTAAGCAGGGACACCTCCCTCTAAACGAAGTTTAGATCCACCTGAGAGTGCTGAGGGAACTGGCGGAGGTGATAGCCGAGCCGCTTTCCATCATCTGTCAGCGCTCCTTGTTGACTGGTGAGGTCCCAGAAGACTGGAGGCTTGCCAATGTGACTCCCATTTACAAGAAAGATAGTAAGGAGGATCCGGGGAACTACAGGCCTGTTAGCCTGACCTCGGTGCCAGGGAAGGTTATGGAGCAGATTGTCTTGAGGGAGATCATGCAGCATGTGCGGGGTGACCGGGGGATCAGGCCTAGCCAGCATGGGTTCGTGAAGGGCAGGTCCTGTTTGACCAACCTGATCTCCTTCTATGATCCAGTGACCCATCTGGTGGATGAGGGAAAGGCTGTTGATGTGGTCTACCTAGACTTCAGCAAAGCCTTTGACACTGTCTCCCACAGCATTCTCCTGCAGAAGCTGGCAGCCCGAGGCTTGGATGGATACACTCTTGGCTGGGTAAGGAGCTGGTTGGAGGGCCGGGCACAGAGAGTGGTGGTGAATGGAGTCAAATCCAGCTGGCGACCGGTCGTGAGTGGTGTTCCCCAGGGGTCGGTGCTGGGGCCTGTTCTCTTCAATATCTTTATTGATGACCTCGATGAGGGCATCGAGTGCACCCTCAGTAAATTCGCAGATGACACCAAATTGGCTGGAAGTGTGGATCTGCCTGGGGGTAGCGAGGCCCTACAGAGGGATCTGGACAGGCTGGAGAGCTGGGCTGAAGCCAATGGGATGAGTTTCAACAAGGCCAAATGCCGGGTCCTGCACTTCGGCCACAACAACCCCAGGCGACGCTACAGGCTTGGGGCGGTGTGGCTGGAGGACTGCATAGAGGAAGTGGACCTGGGGGTATTGATTGATGCTCGGCTGAACATGAGCCGACAGTGTGCCCAGGTGGCCAAGAAGGCCAATGGCATCCTGGCTTGCATCAGAAACAGTGTTGCAAGCAGGAGCAGAGAGGTGATTGTTCCCCTATATTCAGCACTGGTGAGGCCGCACCTCGAGTACTGTGTCCAGTTTTGGGCCCCTCACTGCAAGAAAGATATTGAGGCCCTGGAATCACAAGAATCACAAGAATCACAAGGTTGGAAACGACCTATAAGATCATCCAGTCAAACCGTCTCCTCATCACCATTGCCACCACTAGTACTAAACCGTCATCCAGACGCGCCTTGAACACTGCCAGGGACGGTGACTCCACCACCTCCCTGGGCAGCGTATTCAAAGGAGGGCAACAAAGCTGGTGAGGGGTCTGGAACACAGGCCATATGAGGAGAGGCTGAAGGAGCTGGGAATGTTCAGCCTGGAGAAGAGGAGGCTCAGGGGAGACCTCATTGCTCTCTATAGCTTCCTGAAGGGAGGTTGTAGTGAGCTGGGGGTCGGCCTCTTCTCTCGTGTCATTAGTGATAGGACCAGGGGGAATGGCTTCAAGCTACGGCAGGGGAGATTCAGGCTGGACATGAGGAAGTATTACTTTTCGGAAAGGGTGGTCAGGCACTGGAACGGACTGCCCAGGGAGGTGGTGGAGTCACCGAGCCTGGGGGTGTTCAAGGAAAGGCTGGATGTTGCGTTGAGGGACATGGTTTAGTGGGAGCTACTGGGAATGGGTGAACGGTTGGACTGGATGATCTTTTAGGTCGTTTCCAACCTTGGTGATTCTATGATTCTATGATTCTAAGTTGCTCACAGCCCCATCCAGCCCAGCCTTGAACAGTGTCTCACCACCCTCGCAGTAAACAATTTCTACTGTCTAATTTAAATATGCTCTCTTCCAGTTTAAAGCCATTTCCCCTCGTCCTGTCACTACATGCACTTGTAATTGAGTTGACTGAAAATGGTCTCAAGAATAAACAAAAAAACAAAAAGAAGACTTTTTCAGCATTTTTGAAATCTGGTCTCAAATTCCTTCATCAGAATGAAAAGCACAGCTGCGTATTCTTTGCTGTTCACAGGACTGTGATCAGCCTATGTGTCAAAATGCATAAAATTCTTTGCCATAAAATTGAGCTGGCACTACTCTGGGCCCTATGCCATGGCTTCAGCCCAGATGGGGTTCATATTGCACCAATGTTTGGTTGGTGCTGAGGCTCAGTCCAGGCCGCTTGGTGGGGCAGAGCTGCCATCATGATGGCTGGGGCAAAAAGCAGCCACAGTGTGAGGCCTACTGGCCATGGGTTGGATATGCCTGCTCTAAGGTGAGGTTTGAAGATAAAGGCCTGTATTAGAAACAGCTCTCCTCAAAGCTAAATCCAGATGTTGCCATAGCATTAAACTTTATTTATGCACTGCCTTTTCTATCACGTTTTAAGTGACTCATATCTAGATAAAATTACTGACCTTAGAAACATCAGCATGTTGGATATATCAGCTGGAAAATCAGTACGGTGGTTGCCATAATATACATGGATCATTATGTACTTACATCTTTAATCAAATGTTATGTTTATTTTCTTCTACTCAATGCTGTTTATTTTAAAGTAATCATGGTAAAATAGTGTGATGGTCTGCACTTTTAGAAAACAGTGAAGTTGTTTCTTGCAACTTTGAAGATACCCAGTAATTCCTTCTAAGAACTAAAGATATTTGTGCCAGTGTACTATTGCCAATTAGAGTAATAACATATTTCTTCCATTAAAAATCATTAATATTGATCATACATTCTATCCAATGCCATTCTTCTGAAGTTCTTGTGGGTGACTTAAAGTTCCTGCAGAATGATTTCTCTGTTTCCTTTTAGTGGTTGAATATCATATTGAAATTCTCTTCCTTTGACATTTCTTCAGCTAACAAACTGCCTTGAACTGTCTGTTCAGTTATATGCTCCAGATGTTATGATCCTTTCCATTGGAGCATCCCCCAGCTACAGTTCTGACCTCATATTTCTGAATAAATCCAAGATTACACAGATTTTGGCAATGGATTTTTATTGTTAATGGTAAAATCACAACGATGTTAGCTGCTTTTTAGGTCTGTTTGTCTTGGTAATCTTGTTAATATTTTTTGTTTGTAAATTAACTGCAATTTTTAAACATCGTTTTTATTTAAAGCAACATTGTTATGTATTATATGCACAAGATGGTAATCATTATTTAATGTCTACATATGAATGTTATGTGATTCCAGCCCAGACTGTCTTTGGCAAACGAATGTGTAACTGAGCCAAAGAAAAATGAGTACATGAAATACGTGGATTATAGCTCAGCTGTTTGTGGTGTTACTCCACCCACTCAGGGATCTTAGAGAATCGTTTCACCTCCATGCATGACTGGGAACTTTGTTTAAAAACTGCCATTCATGTTCATAGTGCAGGATCTGGGATTTCCTCAGAGGGATGTGAATTGCTTTATCCCCGTTAGTGGTCATAGTATTGACATATGAATTCATTTTTCTTTCACCTTGTCATGGCCAAAAGTGATGCAAAATAATCCTTTTTGTGTTTAATGTGTGCTGTGCAGAGAAGGGCCATGCTGCTTTAGAGTAGTGTAGTTGTTCCATCTGGACAGCACTCCTAGTGTATACCATGTTTCAAGAATACAAGCAGCACTATCGTGCAACTATTCCCTGGGTATGGACAGAGAAAGAAGGGGAATCAAGAGAGATTATTGAAATAAACTTAAAAAGCATCCAAAGGAAGAGAAAGATCCTTGGGTTGCTTTTAGATACGAAAGTGATCCCAGAGCCTTGGTAATTAAAGAGTAGGGAGATAAAGAAATTTCAAGATTAAATTGTGACTGTGCTGTTTCATGGAATGTATACTTTCATTTACAGTAGATTGCAGAGAAGCTCAGAGAAATAAAAAATAAGCTTGTAATGCTGACTCGCTTACCAACTGTTAATTGCTTGTATTTTTTTTTCAAATAGATTTTTGTTTCTTACCGTGGGCTGCTTCATTCTCTACTATCTTCATAGTTCCTATATATTTTTCCTGTTCACAGTCTTTTGTCCAAGAATTTGCTACTAGGCAATGTCCAGAGTACGTACACATACTCTGCATGTGCTCTTGCTCTTCTCAAATATTTCCATTCCTCTATTCCACTAACTGTCTGACACTTCCTCAATATGAAAATGCCAACATATGGAAAACTGCTTTTTTTTTTTCAGGCCCTTTGCCTCTCTCTCTCTTAGCTCTTTTTGTTTCCCCAGTGGGTTGTACTTGAAAGTGTACAAATTCTAGTTACTTGTTTGAAGCTCTAGAGGCCATCTATGTAAAATAATGGCTGTGATAGAAGTTCCACATTCAGTGCTTCAGTCCATCCTTTGATCCATTTCAGTTTGGTATAATTGCATGAGTCCTTCTTTATTATCTTCCTGGAACTTGTGGGATGACACTGATTTCAAAATTCCACACTGAAACTGTTATTTGCAAGATAGTTGTTGAACCATGATTCCTTCCTGTATGCATTGATATGTCCTTCACTTACTGCATGTGTCTGAGGCACCACTAAACATCTTGTGCAGACAGATACAGACAGCATGTTCAGTTGATCACTCTCTTGAACCAAGGATCAGCAGATGCAACATTTTCTGGTGCCAGTGTTTGAGAACTTGTTATTTCCAACTGTTACACCGCTGTTTGTGGTCTTCCTCTTACTCCACTGCTTTTCCAACTGCAAACATCCTGCTGACCAAAGATCAGAGAACTCTCACTCAGCTCTCCTCCTATACTCTATCCCTGGATTGCCTTTCCCTCCTCTGACTTTGGCCTATCTCTTCTGTTTTTTCTTTTCTTTTTTTTTTTTTAGCAATTTCTGACTCTGTGCAGAAATTATCCTGACATGGTTTATAAACTCATTTTTTCCTACTCAGCTTTTCTCTCTTGGCTGTGTTGCTGCTAACAGATGTTCTACTGTGGTTCCATTGTCTGTCCTTTTCAATCATTCCCAGTAGTTCAATTCTGTACTGAAAAAATCCTCCAGAATTTGAGATGAGGAGTTTGTTAGTTAATGCTGACCATGATAGGTTTCTTTCTTTTGGCACTTTTAGAAGTTTCTAGAAAATGTCCTATTCAGTGAATATTATTGGCCAAATGGGAATTTCATCAGTGTTCTATCTTCCTAGGATTATCCTTTAAAAATTAGGATAATGCTTAGGATATTCCCAGAAACGGAGAGAGAAGTAATATATTGTAGTATTTCCCATAAAAATTTTTAAAGGTATATGCACATATGATGTCTATATTATTCAGTTTATCTGCACCATTAAATAGATTTAATCTCAATAGTGGAGATAATGAATGAATACGGTTAATAATAGCACGTTTTTACTTAAGAATTTTTTGGAATTTCTACCATGTTTAATTTTTTTCTAAAATTTTCCTTTATGCTGTGCTTTTACTTCATGCAAGCATGAAAGTGCTGAGTACTTTGCATTACACTTCTAAACCAAAACATCTGACTTTTTTGGATTGTTGCTGGAGAACCAGAGGAACCCACAAACACCACACTTGCTTTAAAAGAGCAAGATTTCTCTCTGGAGTGTTCCAGAATTTCTTCCATAATGGCCAACAGATATTTAAAGTTTTGACCCTGAATCTCTATCCTTCACTGCATATTTATTACTTGATCTAGGATTTCCTTGAGCTAGGAATATTGAAGTTTTAATCCAGCATCCCCCTACTTGTCTGGGGAGTTACTTATCCTTTTTGTGTGTGGAAGAGTTTGTAATATCTATCTTTAGCAGGCAGTAGGTCTAGTTCAACATTAAATGGTGCAGAAATTAAAAAAAGACAGAAGCATTATGTAAAAACTAGTAGGCATCTTTCAGTAAAAATAGCTCATTTTGGTAAAGGAATACAGAGCAAGGAACTTTAGAGATACTGACTGGTTAGCCAGGGCATTTCTATGGCTTTATACTAGAATAATCACAGGTTTTTAAGAATATGTGTTCACATAGACAGCTGTGTAATGAACAGATACTATAATGTGCATTTTTACAAATGAGTTTTGGGAAGGGTAAGCTGTGGCACTATCAGTCTCTTCTATGAGCACTTAGATGCATACTCACCTTCAGTTTGTGTGGGCATCAGCATGTGGGATGCAGACTGCAGCAGCCTATGTGCTCTTCTTGATCTAGAAGGGAGGTTGTGTAAGCTGATATGACGACTGAAGTGCTTCCTAGGAAGGCTTCAGCAGTATGGGCATGTGGAACTGAGTCTTGGGAACTGACCATGCCTTGGCTACTCCTATTTTTGGGCAGCTCATATACAGAAGAGGCAGAAGCTGGGTTGTTGAGTTAGGACAGAATAGGAACACAGGTAAATCAGCAAATAGAACCCAACTTCTGGGTTTGAATGTTACTTAGTATAACAACCACCATTCCTGTTCTTCTAGAACTGTATATAAGATTTAAGTCTTCAGGTGTTTGTTTGTTTGTTTGTTTTCTTTATATATACACAATAAAACAGGAGGCTGATACAAAATCTTAAAAATATTTTCTGGAAATATTTTAGGAAACTGATAGATACAAAGAACTGGCAATGCATTCAAGAAAGTTGAGTGTTGGTCACAATCCTGCAGCGACTCCATGTCAACACATAACTTGCATTCATATATAATGTTCATGCACAACTCCTCCCCACATGTCTACATTCATGTCTATCTATTTATAATGCATAGTTTTGAATTTCTACCAGAAAATTTCACGAGAGCGCAGAACAAACTGTCAGAAACAACTACTTATTGAAGGATTCTGTGTAGCTAATTCCATTCTGTACTTATTTACTGCATTAAACAGAAATCCTTGTAGTAAATAGTCTTCCAATCTGTATAATTAACAAACATGTAAACAGTGTGTTGGGTTCCTTTTTTTGCCAGAGTACCAAATATTTGAATTTACTTTAAAAAAAAACAGGGTTTCCTTATTAGCCTAGCACAGTGACGATTACACTGTGCTTTTTGACTGTTTGAACTGACTTTTCTTTGTGTCGTTCCCATTCCTCATCGTCTTTGTCCAGATCAAAAGTTTCTGGATAAATGGGCAGCTTGTCTTTTGGACACTCCTCATAATAACTCCGAACATATTTTCCAACAGACCAGCCTTTGTATTCCTCAGGCATTTTGCATTCTAGGCCATTGTAGTGGACATTGTAGTGATGCTTCAACCAGTAGAAAAGATAATGAATGTTGTAATCACATCTCCAAGGATTCTCTCTCAGCCACAGAACTTTCAGAAAGTAAAGATCTTCCAATACTCCATATTCAAAATTCTGCAAGCTGTTGTTAGATAGATCCAGCTCTTCTAAGTTATTGAGCCCTGAGAAAGCAGCTTGTCAAAAGAAAGATATTTATTTGTAACTTGTAAATATGAATTAGAGAAGATATGCTTATCTGCAACAAGAAATAACTTTTTCATAACTTTGTCTGTTTTTACTAACGGCTATAAAAAGACATTTCAAAGACAGGTCTTTATTAAATGGTTTGTACCCTGAGTATCGACAGATATTATCCTGAAAATGTCAACATTAGAGTGGTTGTATTGCTGATAAAGTCATAAAACACTTATGAAAATGCATGAGTGTAGTATAGTGCCAGTGGAGGTGAATGAATATTTGATTTACTCATAGAATTCTTGTATTCTTTCCATGACACAAAGTTCTGAGTCATGTTTCAGGGAGCACTTCATACTTTTTGCAAGTTTTGTTTCATGATAGAAGACTTAATTTGAATAAGTATGTTGCTAAACCTCAGAAATACCCTTCTACTGATATTAACAGTTTCTCCTATTTAACCTCTAAAATACTACTAAAGAAGGCTCAATTGCTTCATTATTTCTACCTCTCCTTGTGTCTGTTTTCATAATGAAAAATCAAATACACATATGCAATAAGCAAACTGCTAAACAAGGTCACTTGAAGTCTAATAATACATAACTTAAGAGCAACTATGTGTATCATTTTTTGATCAAAAAGAGTTTTAATTATTTTGGTTTGTCTATTACTTCATATTCATTACCATTTTAAAGCAGCATTCATTATATTACAGCTTTTTTTTTTTTTTTAATTGGAAATCATAATTCAGGATATTCAACTATTTGGCACTTTGGTAAATGGTTAACCTTCAGAATTCTACTTTTGCATAGGCTTGCTTAGCATTAAAGAGCTGCTGAAATCAGTCACTCTTCATTGACTTGATGATTTATATGTCTTTTGTGATGATCTATGCAACCTTTGTGAAATGGATGCTACAAAAGGTTAAATTTGCACAGACTTCTAGATTTTTAGGTCCTTTCTTTCTTGCACATTTTTATGTGACAGAGACTTTACCAAAGTTTACAGTTTATGAAACACAAATAACTGTAAAATGAATATTTAAAATTATTCTTACCAGGATCAATGTACGTTATTCCATTACTGTTTAGGTTTAATATCTTCAGTTCACTGACGTCTTCAAACTCTTTGGGTCGCAGTTGTTTAATTTTGTTGTTGGACAAATCAAGTTTAACTATATCTGGAGGTATGTTTCCAGGAACTTTCTTTAAATCTTAAAAAATGGAAAAGAGAGAATTTGTATCATTTTTAGGTTATTCTTATTGCTTAGGTTTCACACTTGCAAACAGCTTTGTTGGTCTCACATTATTTCTTTCCCTTTCTTTTCCCCCATTACTTCTATCAATGTTTTTTCAGCTTCTGACTTTGGCTGCCTTTTTCTTTTCCATCTTTACGTTTCATATGAAAGTTGCATTCTTCGCTAGTGTTTACAGCAAAGCCTCATTCACTGTTTTTTATTTTTCTTTTGGTAGTACCATATTATTCATCTGTGTAGGAATGGGGGTAGAGACACTAATGAAAGGTGTGTGTGAAACTTGTACATAGGGAAAACAGTATGCCGAGTAAATAAACGTTCATTGCCATGGGAACATATTCCATAATGAAATTACAATGTACTCTATTACATCTTTTGTTTTATGTTGCAAAGAGGTAAAATTTCATTAGCAATAAAAGTGGTAATAATCATAGTATTTAGTAAGAGGTATAGTTATAATTGTACTTCTATAATTATAGTTGCTTATTATTTATAAAAATACGTTTTGTTACAATGCTTATTTGCCCAGGGGATATTTCTAAGTATTCTATCTATCTACTTCTCTGCCCTGCTTGTATCATTGGCATTTCCAGAGCAGACAAGCATGTCTCAGTCATTATTTTTACAAATTACTTTTAAAAGAGTTACAGAAAGAACAGCTTCTGGGTTGCCAGTAAGGGCATGTCCTTGAGAAGAGCCAGGTGTGGTCTGAATCTTCTCCGGATAAAGTTATTAAACCTTATCTCCAGGCTTTCTGTCTGCTAAATGTAGTGTTCTAATCCTGGGCTGTCAGAACAAAATGAGCGGTAGTACCCCTTCTTTAACTGTCTTTAAATAAAAGTATAATCCCTGAGTCTGTGCTGAAATTGGTGTTGTCAGTACACTTCAGAATTTTGAAGATGTCTCAGGCATCAGCATTCTTGAGACTAAAGCAACACATCAGAGACTTCCTGCCTTATATTTGAATTTCAGTAGAGCTTTGGTATGGTAATACCTGTATTATAAATATGTAAATATTATAAATGCTCCTGCCTGCTCTGGTTGGAATGTTTCCTGCTTGTGCAGATGTCAAAGTTTAGGGTCTAATTATTGCCAAATGAATGAAAACAATGCTTGAATTTATGGACATTTAACATACTCTTCATGTCTGTGCTCTAGAACATGGATTTTTTTCAGCTGTTTTTGTGAGTCCAAATAATTTTGCAGAAAAGCAAACAACTTTTGTGGGTTTTGTTTTTTGTTTGTTTGTTTGTTTCTTTTTCTTTTTTATAATAGTCAAGGACACAGGATGCTTTTGTTCTGAAGTGCTGCCAGTTCTGATGTATCACTGATCTGATGAGATCTGAATAAGAAGTTCTTCAAAAAGGAGGAGATATGTGTATTTATATATTTATTTTTAAGAAATATTTACATTTTTAAGATGTCTATTCCATGAGCTTTCTGGCATTAACTAAAAGCTCACGACCAGAAGGACAAAGTGCAGGCCTTATAATTTCTCTACAGAAATGCATAGTAATGCTATCCTGCTTGTCGCTCTGTCCCTTCAATTGTAAAGAAATAATGCTTCAGCTTTTGGGGGCATCGTCTGATTTGACAGGTGATAAATTCTCCTCCTACTCTGAAATCTTGTACGTATGGATTTAGAAGAAATTTTATTTTTTGTCAGGAATTTGAGTTCATTATACTCCTCTTTCTGATGAAAATTCCAGTGAAATTGTGCATCTGCTGCACAGTAATCATATGCAGGGACAGATAAGTATGATGCTTTCATCAAAGATTACCATATGTTTAGAAATCCCAAATTTTCATTAGATATGTGCATCCAGCTGTCAAGCATATGCACAGTAGATCTGGTACTTCCTAAATGAGATTTACTCAGGGTGTGCATGCTAGACATTCAGGAAGTCCAGGAGTGATAGAGCTAGCTCTTGACTTGAAGGAAGGAGTCCTGTACCCTTGTACACCAGAACTGCAGTACACTCCTGTGGGTGCTGATGTAACTTTATTTCTTAGCCAGTAATTTGTTTTTCAAATCCTGTGAAGCTCCCATAAAGAGCAGACATGATTGAAGGTCACTATGGAGTTAGGGGAAAAAAACATAACATTTTTCATGCCCCAAATTTTGGAGTATACTAAGGTATTCAGCTCATCTCTTCTATACCACCGAATGGGAAGAGATAGAAAGTCAATATTGTATCAATATTTTTATTATAATAAATGTATATGTATATGTATATGTACATGTATGTACATGTATAATATAGGTATAATACATGTATATAGTGATAAATGTACATAATAATATATACCTCTTTTTGTTCAGCTTTTGTTCAACAGTTTTCTAGAATCTTGAAGTAATTGATGATGCAATTCAGATCATGTGAAGGATAGTTAAGATCATAATTTGTGTCTAATAACTAAGCTCTTATTCACAACGAGAGGAAGGATAAAGGAATATTAAGAAATTAATAAGTGTTAGCCAATAAAAACATAATTAATAAAAAAAGACATAGTAAAAGAGGAATTTAGCAATGAAAAGAAGGTAAAACCATCAATATTTTTTATAGCATATGTAGCAGACAAACCGTGTCATCAAATGCTGAAATCATTAGTTCTTTCTGTTTAGGTAACATCTCCAACATCAAAGTTCAAGAGTAGGAACTCACAAAGAGTTATATAAATATAAGTCACTGTTAAATAAATAGAAGTTTAGCAAACACATTGTGAGATACAAGTAGACAAAACGTTCTGCAGGATATACTTTGCAAAACTTTGGAAAATAGTTCTTCCAGTTTGGGCTACTTCAGGTAATGCCTTTTAGTACAGATTGTATAATGCTAAAGGACAACTCTCTTCAGAATTGCTTTGTTCCATGTTTTGTTTCATTGTGGTGTAAAATATGAGAAATATAAAGCATGGATAAATGTACATTTTCATTTTGACACATGCCACAGTTGGTTTACCCTTAGGGCTTAACTATGGCTTTTAGCAGACTGAGATGCACTTGGGAATGGAATGGATCCAAGAGACTGAAAAATATTTCTTAAAGTCACTTCAGCTTTAAAGTGTTTGTTGGGTACTGAGAGGAAGAACAGAGAGGAGATATTTCTTTATGAAGAAAAGTGTACAATTTCTTCCTTAAGAAGAAGAAATCATGCAAATACACGTGGGGCTCTAGTGACTCTTCTTTGCATTTAGGTTCCTATGGGGATTGTTAGCACAGCTGGCTGGTCCAATCCTGCTTCACAATTAACTTTTGTGAAATCTTTGCGTTTATACATGGGGAAAAATAAATAAATAAATAAAAATGCTCCATGCTTATTTTTGTCTGTGCAGCGATTTTTGCACAGCTGCAGTATGACTGATCAGTATGCTTACCACTGTAGTATCAGACAGTTGCGGTGCTGACGGTTCCATAATTTAAGCATAGGCTTAATTTAACTACTGTTGATTTTCATTGGATGTGTTATACTAGAGAACTAAAGAATATTTGTGAGAAAATTATTTATGTTAAACAGACAAAAAATTAAAGTGCTAGTTAAAGTAAGTCAAGAAAGAACTGGTGCCATATGGATTTGTCATAAATAATATGTGCAGCAGTAAGAGGGTAAGATTATGAAAATAATTCATTCAGTTAGAAGAATAGATACAAACCTTTTCTCTTGCAGTTCAGAGTTGGTACAGGAAACACATACATGTGGCACAAAGAAGAATCAAATTCTGGTTTGGTAGCTTCAGGCTTCTGCTTTATGTTTTGGGGATCTTGCCTGTCCTCTTCACTACAAAGCTGCTCAGCTTTTATCTGTTTTAGCTTCTGATTTTTCAGTTCTATTGGGTACACACACTTGGCATAGTTTCCCAAATTTCTGTTTGTTGGAACCTGTAGCATTGTAACAAGAGTTTCTAGTTCACAATTGCAATGCCAGGGATTATCATAAAGACGAAGATAGTTTAGACTGGGCGTGTAAATAAAAATCTCCTCAGATAAACTCTTAATTTGGTTATGCTGGAGTAGGAGTGTGGTAAGTTTATTCAAACCAAAGAAAGCCTGGCTCTCAATTTTTGATATGTCATTCTGCTGTAAATCCAAACTTTTCAATACTTTATATTTAGAAAACATATTATTCTTCAATTTACGAATCCTGTTTCTTGCTAGCAGCATGTGCTTCAAATCCTCGGGCCAATCAGGTGCCACAAAAACCAATTTTCTTTCCTGACAATCTAGATATTTCTCATGAAGGTAAACATATATATCACATGGTTGGGCTTGGGCGTTGCGCTTAACGGTGCTAGACGCTCTTCTTACGATGTTTTCCTTTTCATTTTTTCTCAGATTCCTATTCCTTGTCTTCCTAAAGTCAGATGCTTTACAAAGAAGAAGTAGTATTATAATAGTAATGACTTGCATCCTGACATTCAGCTTGCCCACTTATTTTTTTGTGACAACTGGGAGAGAAGAAATTTTTGGTTGTCTTAATCAGCGTTGTCCAGATCTGAATACACACAGCTGGTGTATGTGGTATCCCTGCAGTGGAAGAAAAATAAAATATTAGAACAGATGAAATAAACTTTTTCACAGAGGCTTGTGCACAGTGTGCAGCTTTCAGTACTCAGTCATTACACTACTTAAAACTTCACTGTTACTTTGATAGTTGTGTCCTTTTTCATTGCTCTTACTATCTGTGATCTACTGTCATTTATTTTGCCAAAGCATGGAAAATTAGGCAAACTGCTTGATAATTGATTTTTGTCACAAAGTTCTCCAGTGTGTAAGAAACACCATCGGACAGAATCTTCTTTGTATTTAAATTCATCTTGGTAGATAAGCTTGAAAAAGGAGCTTGAGGCTGGTATTTTCCAGCTTTCTGGATACTGACCTGCTGGATATTCTAGTACGAAAAACAACCAATAGGATATAGAAATTGACCTGCATCCAGTGTTTCTATCACTCTCACGATATAAAGTGCATTTGTTTTCTGGTTGAGTCCCATTTTATCCCAACCAGCTCTGGTACAACCAGGTGTCTCTCATGGCCCATGTCAGGTAGACAAAGTTGCATAGACTGCTCTGTGAAGGACCCAAGTGTAGTAATTTTCAAAAGCTATTGTGTCATCTGAGGGTAGACAGGATGCAAAGGAACCTGAGGAACCTGACAATGGTCTGCTTCAAACTGCTCACAGGTCTGCCCACTTGAGAAGATAGAGGATAGAGGGGTAAGCCAGGAGCTTTTATACAGGGATTACTCTTAGAGGAAGATAAGAACCACATTATGCAATCACATCCAAAATTGCGTAAGTTTTCAGCTGATGTTTGCTCCTGTATTTCTTACAGTGGTGCTAAACTTCCTTTAATGCAGTTGTTTTCAGTAAATTTTGGCCACAAAGTTGTGCTTCCTCAGAAACATTTTCACTCTTGAGATTTTCATAGTCTGAATTTCTTTTTATCTCATTAATTTCCTACTTTCTGCTCATTAGTATCATTCCTTCTAAAACTTGCTTTTTTTTTTCCAACTCTTCACTGTTTGAATTGTGTACTCAGTAATTTTTGCTCTGTCTACAGACATCTTTGTGTTATGATCTATCTTTTTCGACTTTAGTACTTAAGATGTAGATCCCAATCTTGAATGCAGTTTCCCAGATGTTTTTTTTTTTAAGCAACATTGTTTGGGTCTCAAAAACCTTGTCTTTATCTGTTGGAAAGATTCCATAATAAAAAAAACTAATATTAAATAAAACTTGTCAGCAAATTGATAGTTTAAACCAGTTAAGGACTAAGGAGCATTCTCAGTGTTTTTGTAGTTATAGCTTATTAAAAAAAACCCACAATCCTATCTGCATGCTGCTCTATTGTATCCCAACAGCTCTGGTACTATCAGGTGTCACTCATGGCCCATGTCAGGTAGTTAAAGTGCATAGACTGTAGTTTAGAGGTGTACCTCCAAACCATGTGACCTACTGTCAATATCAACTTTGAAAAGCCCTTAACTGGATTCTCCATTTTTAATGCTGTACTTGCCAGTTCTCTATCGGCATTCAGATTCTGTTAATTGGTAGTGTGCACTACTGTCAACACGTTAACTCTTTAACTCCCAGTGCACTACATGATGTTATGATGTGGAATACTGGTAGCCAAAGATCATAAAACCATGACATTTACACTGATGACTTCACATAAAAAATGAGATTGTTACTTTTCAGAAGTTATATACTAGTTGGTCGAAGCAGTGCATTATAGTAACATCAGTCATAACTGGGATCCTCTGTGCTATTTTAAACTTTTCAGCATTTTTCAATATTCAACATTCATATCCATGAGTGCTTGGAACTAGAAAAAGATAGGAACTTTATTCCATCATTTCCTAACTGTAAATTTCTTAACTAAAGAGCTTTCTTATCCTTTGGTAATGTAAGACAAAAAGCAGCTTGATTCATAAGCCAGAGATTGATGAAGTGTTAAGAAGGCATTTTTCCTCTGGACAACTTCAGCTTTGTATACTTTTTTTTTTTGTTTGTGTGTGCTTTCTTCTCAGTAATCTGACACTGCAATAGTTTCAGGTAGGATACTGGCCTTGATGGACTGAATCTGTAATAGAAATACTTAAGTTTCTCTGGCACTCAGAGAATTCAAACTTTTAACATTCAAAATGACTGGTTTTTTTTAGGTGAATGTAGGAACTTGCAAGATTTAAATCTCTCTGAATGTCAGGGGTTGAATGTAAGTAACACAATGTTTACATACCTATTACAGATTAATCTGGCAAATCAGCCATCCACTGTTTTTTTCAAATGAATTAAAAAATAAGAAACTTTACAACAAGTATCAAAATGTAACAATAATTATTTTAGGATTATGCTTTTCAGGATTATCCAATTATCCAGAGGCTAAAACTTACACTATACTAAATTAACCTTGTGAATAAATATGTTCTTGTCATGTTCAGAATGCTCATTTGGCATGGTCTTAAAATTTCTGACTATATACAGTTTGCATCTGAATTCACATAACATAGACCTCAACCATCTCCTTGATATGATTAATTTCAGCATGCCTCTTCAAAGAGCAGAAAAAAATTGCAACTCTTTTTTTCAATTTCTGTCATCTTTTTAACAGGTATTAAATGTACTTGCTTATCTGTATTACTTCAGATGTGTAGTTTGTCATAGAATTTGGACTACTTGTTCTAAAATACTGTTAGAATTTTAATTATGCCTAGTAGGGCAGTGGCTTCTTACCAACCATTACATAGTAAATTTTGAAAGAAAATAAAAAAAAAGAAAAAAAGAAATCAACAGTAATGTCACTACCACTGTAAACTTCCTACTACTGTATTTTGGCAAACTCAGAGGACTGGTGAAATCGGTGAACTGTTGATATTTGGAAGTAGAAGATACTTAACAATATTTGCAAGGAGGAAGATGTATTGATCCTTGGGGGACGTCAGTTGCCACAAGACACCAATGGTACTTAGCGATATTGGTGAGAATGCTTTGGCCTAGCAGTCCAGGCAAATTTTCAGTCACTTTGAAATTCACTTATCCAGCCTATATTTTATCCTTTTGACTATGAAGGATACAGTGTTGAAGGCCTTGTTGTAGTCAAGATACACACACTACTGTTCTCCTCTTATCCAAAGATTTTGTTATTTCATCATAGAAAGCTATTACATCAGCGAGGAATGCTTTGTACTCAATAAATTCTTTCTGGCTGTTCCCTGTCACCTGTTTATCTTTCATTTGCTTGGTCATGGCTTCAAGGAGGGTCTGCTAAATAAACTTCTTAGGGACTTAGGTGAGGCTGAAAGACTCATAGTTTCCTGGATCCTTCTTCCCATTCCTGAAGGTGAATGCGACATTTCCTTCCTTCCAGTCATTTGACATCTCCTGTTACTTAGACCTTTGAAAAATGAGGGAGGACTCAGTGACAGTGAATATGCAAATGTGATACGCTTCAGCAGCACGTGCTAAAAATCCCATGTGCTTAATTGAACTGCATAGTGTTAAACATTTCCTTGAACTGCAATGTTAAATTTATCAAACTTCATGTGAATAAAAGTAGTATCATATGTTTCTTAGTATTTTGCTTAGAGATTGAAGAAAACAGCTTTCATTTGTAAAAATAAATGTGATGATTTAAAAACACTTGTTGAGGTGGGGTTTTGTTTTTGCTATTATATAAGGGCTGCTCTGAAAGTAATGCCTCCTACTTTATTATATTGGCATGTGACATCAGAGGCTGATGTTGATAGTATGACAATGGAGGCTGAAAAATATCCTGACAATATCCAGTTATGTTTTATTGCCATTCTACTCCTGAAAGCAGGGGAACAATCTGGTGGAATGGCATTGAAATGCATATGAAGCAAAAGCATGTCACTGAATTCCTCCATGCAGAAACAACGGCACACACTGACATCTCTGCCAACATTTTTGAATGTTTATGGAGATAAACATCTGTGCAGTGAGTTCAGTGAGGCAGTGGGTACTGCATTTCTGCAGTGCAATATTGGCAGTGGGTCACCTCTGCTGGCACAGGTTTTTACAATCACAGCATGCAGGCTCTTGTTCATCACTGGCAAAAATGCAAAATGCTAGTGACAATGACTGTATTGAAAACTGATTTAATGCCTTCTTGTGTCACTCTTGTAAGTGAGACTTTGTTCTGTCAAATAGTGTTACTGCGCTCTTTGTAAATGTTGTAGTTTCCATGGAAATAAATAGGAGGCATTACTTTCAGAGAAATGTACATATATACAAATGTAAGATAAATTAATGCATATATAATTTTAATGTACATCCGGATTTCTTTTATTATTCAGGATGAATCAATGGGACTCATATCTGAAGGCTGCAGATCTCTACTTAAATTTGCCATATACACATATTACTAATGGAACACTACAACTTTTGTCAAGGTGAAGTTAAAAATAAATGTTATAGTCTGTTTGTTTTACTCATACAGTCAGCTTAGAGGCATGAATTGTAGTAATACCCTTTTAAAGAGATGTACAGATTCTGTCTGTTAGACAAAATTTACAAAATACTCAATACATTTGTCTCAGATGACAATTCTTTTTTCTTTTTCATTTTTTATTATAATTTTATTGTAATTAATATATACCAGGCCACTCTGTATATTTCACAGATTTCTGCAGAAACTTTTAAGAGAACGTGGTAGTTAAAAAAATTCTGTGGCATGTCCAACTACTCCTGATGATACAAGAAGTTTACACAAAGGAATGTTCATAAAAATTCTTTTTTGTGAGAGAAGATTGTGGGTGGGTCAATGTGAGCCAAATGGCTGTGTGCCAACTGCAAGAGTTATTCTAAAATCTAATTTGGAAGATCAGCGTATGGAAGACAAACAGTTAACACTGTTAGAGGTCTGTCATTCCTGGTTAGATGTGTCCCTCTTTAAGACATGAAGATTTGGTGAATAAGAGGTTGGTTGCTGCGTTAAAAGCTGACATAGAGGAAAAGCATGAGGGTCAAGGATGTGCCTCCACAAAGATGTACATAGATTCTGAAGATAGATGTATAATGTTTCTCTTTCCCATGAATAAAATCAATGCCATCCTTTCAGCGACACCCCCACGAAGTCCAAAAATCTCTTCTTCTTTTTCACTGTCATCACAATTTCTATTCTTCTCAATTTTGTGTGCTGCATCTTTGTATTACTAAAATGTGCTTTGGCAAAAATTTCTCTTGAGTGTCTCCAGTCTTGCCAGTCACCTCTTCATCAGTATTATTCTCATCATAATCTGTGTTTTGTCCACAGTGGCTGATATTTTGTCTTTTTACATTTCCACATATTTTTGTTGCAGTTTGGAAAAGTTATTCTATAGGTAATCCCAGTCTATTTTTTTCTGGTTATCTAAGTATCCTATTACTACCAAGAGTCAGAACCATATATTTCTTTTGATGTGTGAATCACACTTAAAAAAGAAAAATGTCTCCAGAGTAGACAAAACTTTCAATGTAATGAAATAAATAAAACCAAAAAGGCAAGTTAAATACTAGTATATATGTTGCAGTTAACTTCTACCTCATAAATAGTAAATTTTCCTTTTCACACATGAAGCTTCTGGTTTGAAAGTATAAAATACCACTCTTTCTAGAGACCATTTTTGGACAAAAAGCAAGGCTCACTGTTTCCAAGTTTACAAGGAAATAGAAAATGATGCTGGCCTGAGAAAGATTTGCTACAAGACACTTCTCATAAACACTTCATGTGCCATCTGAAAAGGCACATCTCACCACAGGTCTTGTGTAATAGTGTAACTAGTGCAGAGTTCTTAAAGGTGGCAGTGTTGTATTTTGTAGTTCTGCGCATGAGATTTGCCATTGGATATCAAATGTCCATTACTGGAATAAGGAACTACTGTGGGCTGAATGTGCTGAAAGCTGTTTAGTGATTTTTGATTCTCTCTTTTCCATGCTTTTCCTCCATACTGACACTGATTATTGGGTACATTTTCCCTCTGAAAAGTGCTTCTTTATATGACAGGCATGAATATTAGCTATTAAGAATAAGCGTGAGATGGTGATTTTATCAGATTGCATGAAAGAAATGAGCCTGAGATTGTTAATACCAAATTAATTTTAAAAAAGCCAGTAGGAAAGCATTTCTGCAGATTTCACACAAAGCAAGGATTAATAAGGAGTCCATGTGCTCGAGCTTAAATTCTAAGAAAACTGTCACTTCAAAGATGGCAGAAACAGTCAAGTACTAAAATTCTCAGATCATAAAAATGAGTCATATGACCTATAAGGAAAATCATTGTCTCTTCAAGAGTACTGGATGGTTTTGTTCACAGGTTTCAAAATCCAGTAAGAAAGGCTTCCCTATATCTTAAGTTATGCATCCTTGTAGCCCAACCTTATTTATAGAAGTCTATTACTGTATTATCTGTTTTGTTAGATGCATTTGGAAGCATCTAATTACTTGTAGTGATTTTTGCACCAAAATGCAAAAAAAGTATGCTTCTGTCAAGAAATATATTTCTGTATTCAAGAAGAAAGAAATGTTTCTGTTTAATAAAAAACAAACAAAAAAATGAACACATAACCTCATATTTTCAGATCTGGCCTTGATTTACACTGCCTGTCTTCTATAGTGTTTTCATGAAATATAATCTTACATTTATTTTTAAAAGGTTTGTTATTATCTTTTTTTTAAGGTTAACATTATTTTCCAGCTTCCTGTATACATATACATATATGTATGTATTTACAGTTCAGTTCAAGTTACCATGTTTCCCCACTCTATGTGGAAAGTATAAAGTCAGCTCTGAAAGTCAATGCCACTCCCTAGGTAGTTAACTCCTCAGTGGGTGTTCCTGTGTTTCTTCAAAATGCTAATTTTTGCTGACTTGCAGATCTGCAGCACTGTATGCCTACATCTAAATATCTACCAGAGCAGTAGGTCCTAATTCTAGGCTCTGATTTTTTATATACTTTCATTTGTGGTGCTTGTGGCAATAGTTATTTATTCCAGTTAGAAATTTAGTTCAATAAAATGAATGGTTTTCAGTGTGCTATAAACCAGATCCACAGATGGAAACTTAAATACCTCCCAAGTTTAGATTCTCAGCTTTTACAGAGTGCTGCAGAAAAACATTTTCCATTTATACAGTTTACTTTCTTTTTGCTAACATTTAGTATAAAAGCAATGTTTTCCAAAAGAACTGGTTAAAACTTTAGAAAGCATTGAAAGATAAAAGATGTAGGCACTTAATTCGCTTTTGTATCTCTATCAGTTTTTCAGGTTCTTTTAGTAGTATTCTTCTAAATAACTGCAGGAGCAGAGAAGCTCTTACTGTGCGTTTTTATTGTTAATGTTCTTTGATAGAGCTCTGGCTTTCATTTCCACCAGGCGCTGCTTGTAAAATCAATGGCAACTACAGTCCAGCAATCTTGCACTGAAAAGCCTGTTAGTTTTCAAAGTATGCATACAAGAATCACAGTTAATTAAAAAAGTATGGGTTTGTAGTTATTCAAAATAACTTTAAAATGATACTGTTTTCATACAGTGGAGTACGTTATATGATAATGCTATTCTCTAATAAACCGGAGTACAAAGTGCAGTGGAAAGAAGAGTCTTTTACCAAGAAGAAAATTCTATTAAATGTCTAACACAATTCCTTTACAGTAATTTTCAGAATAGTTTAGCTCTGCTATTTTGTCTTTTTCTGATTCTATAACATACTCTTGTGATAATTTTCTCTCTCTTCTATTTCATCTTGAAAAGGAGCTTTCCCAATTTGCAGTACTTCAGTTTAGCTCACTGCAGAAAATACACAGACAAAGGTTTACAGTACCTGGGCACTGGCACAGGATGTCACAGGCTCATCTATTGGACCTTTCAGGTTGCGTTCAGGTTTGTACTTCACGTCTTTCTTCCATTCTGTGAAGAAGAGAATCCTTTATATGACTGGCTGCATCCTGCATTCATGGTATACTGAAGTAGAACAAGCACTGCAGAAGTCTTCCAGGGTTTTGAATTACACGACTACAGCTGTTTAAATTTTACTGAGGAATAATAGCACTATAGGTTTGGATCGCTTCCAACAAACTGTCAGATCTATAAACAGCTAGTGCTTACTGCATAATGAGAACAAGGCTTGCTTTTTGTGGCTGTAAATAACTAATTCTATGTTATGATTAGTTAGGATTTCAAATCAGGAGATTTGAAAATGCAGTTTTTACTAATGCATTAAAAATAAAGCCACCGTGCGTTGGAAAAATGCAAAGTTACATTTGAATTTCTGAGAAGGAAAGTAATTCAAATGTAATCTTTTGTTACTATTTTATAACAGTTTAAAACACATTGAAGTAGTGTTTATAATGATAATCTAAAAATAGTTAATGCCTTGGGTTATTTCAGTCTCCAACTAAGATTCTAAAGATGCCCAGTGTTTTAGAATCTGGTACTATTTTAGATACTTTCAAATATATTCTGTATCTCAAAACATACTATAAAAGTGATATGAAATACTAAACCATGAGGCAGTAAAAGCCTGCCAAGGTCTTAATAAAAGCTCCCACATGCATTCTTGTTTACACTGATAGGCTTCTCCAAAGCACAAAATATGTGGAAAATGGTGAAGAGTCGGAGTCTGACAAACAGAATGGTTTAGCTTCCCATTTGACAGTCTTTCCAGAGCCAAGGATGAGGGCAGAGGGGGCAGTAGCCTTCTTCTGACTGCTTTTTGCTCTGAGTGTCTCTTTCCTTCTTTTTCAGAAGTGCAATCATGAACTGTAAGGATCTGCCTCTAGAAAGCATGATCTAACAGTAGTCAGAGAAAAGTGGTCATCACTGAACTAGGAAAACCGCAATCTTTCCACTTTCCAGAGGAATGAAGTGGGTTTGCTCACCAGTGTATTTGAGAGCTCTGAAAGTCATCCCACAGCTTCCTCCATTTTGGGTTTCCCTCTGATTCTGGAACAGCATTTAATGATCATGACTGAGCAATTAAGTAAACAGCTAAAACTAAAAAAGAGCATCAAATTGCATCACTGTTGCTGAAAGCCTTTCAATAGGACAGAATGGTGGGTGTTTTTTTTACCTCATTGGATTAACTAAGCAAAAGAGAACTTCTGTGTGGATAACATTTTAGAATTAGAAATTAGACCAGAAAATATGTTCTGTGGAACCCTGTTTTTTCCTTCATTTTAATATAGCTGTTCTTTTTGAATGTGTTCTTATATTACACCTTACTATTGTAGTACTTAAACATCTGTTTGGAAAACCCATCTGTAAAATAAGTGATTATGCTAATGGTCTTAGAGGTGGCAGTTCGGGGACCTGAGCATTTAAATAACTCACTAAAGCTTAATTAGGCAGAAAAAAATAGACATTAAGCAAATATTTTCCAAATTATTGTAAAACACTACAGCCTTTGTTCTGATTGTCTATTATTATAATTCATAGTAATAATATATGGTGAATTCTAGCTATGGCTTTTTTGCATAAAATTTCAGAAGTTAAGGTTGTGTCTGTTTTACATGGATGGTAAACATTTCATTAAAAAGTTTAATGCCTTTGTTGTGAAACAGAGATTTCCTTATGTCCTACTCAAAAGCATCCTAATATAGCACTGATAATTTCAAAGAGAGACTCAGAAAACCTTTTTGCTTTGTCCTGCTTCTGAAGCAGAACAGTATAGATGGAGTATTTTCTGCTATGAGTCACAAAACTAAGATAAAAAGTGTAAAGAAATTGTATGACATTTACTGACATTATACAAGTAGAAAAGTTTAGTGAGAGATACTTTCATTTGTATTAGAAACATGGAGATTTTCAAAGAAATTGACTTCTTTTTGGAGCCAAGATCTATGGCTTACTGATTTCTAGATGAACTATTCTGGCCCAAAATATTTTAGAGCAGCCTATCAATTGCTGTAATTAACAACAGCTGGCTAAGAGGTTACAAGGCACTGGGGAAACATGAATTTGACCTGTTCATCTCTTGACATGCCGTAGTGTCTGTGGGGATGACAGAGAAGCTGCTAGCAAATGTAGAGGCTTCACCACATTTCACCAGGTTCTTTCTGCTCTCACATCACTGAGAGAATTCTCTTTTTGGCAGCTACTGTCAAATTTTGGCTTCTTCAGACATATCAAGCAAGAAAACAGGAGTGCTTAAGAAGAAAATCTGAACTGTGTTTATTAATTATCAAAGAAGAGGACTCATTGTTTATATTTCCCAATTACAACCTTTTGCAACTGAAGAGTAAGTTACACATGCACTATTCTCTATTATTGGAAATGTGATCGTTTTGGAGTACATTAATATAAGCTATTTTGGGTAGTGGAAAATATAAGAAAATTACATTTTCATCAATGAAAGAAACCAAACATCCGAATGTATGTCACAGTTTGTTTTATTGTTCTTGATAAATTTGAAATTAAAAAAAAAAAGATAGTCCCTTGTACACTGCAGGAGTACTTCCTGAATGTGGAACACTGATTTTCAAGATTCTTCATTCACAATGTGTTGACAATACTGGAATTGCAGAATAATGATTCTTTACAATATCTTCTATGCTGCGGAGTGCATTCTGCTCTGCAGGGTGGATTCCACAAAAACAATCTTTTTAGAGTGAGAACATAGCAATTTTAAAGCAGTGATAGTGTGTGATAACAAATAAGCCAAAAGCTAAATAAAATTTCTGTGTTCCTATTGTTTGGAATTAAGAAAATATTTTTTTAAAAGGCTCAATGAAACGAATTTTGACATTCTCACAAATATTTTTGCATTTCACTACATTTATTTTCTAAATCTGTGGGGACAGTTTATTAGGTCTTTATATTTAGCTGTAGTTGTTTGGCTTTAACATATTGTTTTAGACAACAGTATATTAGCATACAGTTAAGAAAAAAAGCAAACCATTTATATATCAGACTGAGAACTCGCAGACAAGGAATTATGTTTTATGTAGGATCATTGTGTTGACTTCTGATCCTATAAATGATAAATATATATATATATATAATATCATACTGAGTCAAGCAGCAAAATTATGTTTTGCAGGATTTTATAACATCTTAGACTCAGAATCTTCTTTAACTTTGGTGCATCACCCCTCACAGTACATTTGAAGAAAAAGGCTTAAGTAGGATTTTCTCATCTAAAACAAAAAATGCGGTATTAAATTCCATATATGTTCTAGCAATGATTCCATGGTCAAACTGTAGTTCTTAAGCTAATCTTCTAAACATTGAAATTCCAAGTGAGTTGAGAAAGCAGTTGTTCTACTAAAATGTCCATTAGATTTCACATTATTTCAACGTCTTGTTTTCAAGAATGCCTGATGTTTCTTAGATAACCCACAGTGGCTTTACAAAGGAAATTCAAGATTAATACTTATGATATTGCAACAGCATCTGAATGTTGAGTAATGCAATTGAATCTTATCTGAATGCAAGAGATCTATGTTAAAAAACAGTTTGAGTGAAAAAATGAGAAGCAATCAGTACAAGAGTTTTATTCGCTGCTTCGGCACAATTGTTTTTGGCTTACATGGAGGAAAACACTAAATTGCTGCTATTTGTGGTATTAAATTGCTATGTTAAGCAAGCAGTGTTTTTCCAGACAAAGAAATTAAAAATTCTTTAGACTACAGTTGACATTTTCGGTCTTTACTGAATTTCAGAAACAGATATGCTACATCTGTCCCTAAACATTGTTGAGTTTGACCTGATTATCTGCTACCTTCTATCTCTCCTTTTGAGAATGGGAATCCCACTTAATTCTAGGTACCATACAAAGGGAAAATGACCATTTTGTTATGTTTGTGAAGACACAAATAATGTATTTCTTACTCAGATTTCTGTTGATGGCTTCAGAAATATTGGCAATGGCTGCAGTGGGATTCAAGATTTGCCAATCAGTGAAATGCCACCTCTTACAGACAGATGTAAGTATTTGAAATCTGAATTTTGGGGGAATATCTGATGTTAGACCTGGATTATCATCTCAAGTGATTTTGAAGAAAGTATGCAGATAAAGATGAGAATTTCTTTCCTAAAGCATTTTTGAAAGCTATTGTTAAATTGTGTTTTAAAATCTTACTAACTCTTGTTCACTAACAGAAAATTTCAATTGTCTTGTCTTCTTTTGATACATAGGTGAATAGCTGAATTAAAAACTTCTCGTTTACATGGTTTTTCAGAGTTGCACAAAGTATAAAATATGGGAACATTCTGCTGCTAACTTAGCCCATCACAAGAAGTTTTTCAGGCTTCTGCAGAAGTGGTTGTTAACTATATCATTATCTCAGGTGTTTGCCAAACTTCACATCTCCAGTTACTTCTTTGCTTTTTTTTTCCAAAGGTAATAAATATATGCAAAATTTCAACTATATATACTTAGAACTCACATGTTATAAGTTACTTTTGAAATGGGTTACAACTATTTGTTCAGAATTCCAACTACCAGTATTATATGCAGAATGTTTGCTGATCTTTTGTTATGTGACCACATAAGCATGTTAATAATTTATTTCACCTTTCTCTACAAAGGCTCTGGTTGAAAAATGTCAACAAATAACATCTGCAGTGTTTCTTGACTCTCCACATCTTTCTGATACAACTTTTAAAGCCCTTACTGAATGTAAACTTGTTAAAGTCAGGATTAAAGGTTAGTATAATATTTCACAAATTATTTTGAATGATTTTAAAAATTAATCCACTTTAATCGATAAGAAATCAAGAAGAATCTTTCAACTGATTTTGGATCTGGCCTTTAACGTATGCCAAATGTGTAACTTTATCTTATGTGTTTCAACAGGAAATAACCAAATTACTGACCTGAGTTTCAAGATGATGAGTAAATACTGCCAATACAAGATGCACATTCATTTTGCTGGATGCCAGAAGATAACAGACGCTGGTCTTAAAATGATTTCAAAACTGAAATATACTCTTGTCTTAAATGTGGCAGACTGCGTAAGGTACTGTCTCACATCCAGTTTCCTAAATCATTCTAAAGAAATTTTAATAACTTTAATTGTACTCATAATAAGTCCTGTTAACATATCTTTCAGTTTTAAAAATATATACATTCTTATACTATTTATATATATATATATATTAGCATTTAAATGTATTTATATATAAGTAGGTTTTTTTTGTTTCTGTATCATGTTTTCAAAAGTCCATTCTCTATTACTCCAGTTCAAGCAAAGTAATAGACTGTAAAAGTAGCATTACTTAAAAATTAAGGCCTATTTTAATGCAGCATGGCAAGTATCACAGCTCTATCAATATTTGACTATTGTTTATTTTTGTGAATATTAAAATAGTACATTATATCTATCTATTACTAATATGCAAGCAAAACTGCCTGTTTTTGACAACTACCAGGACAATATAGTGTGTTATCTTGTAGAGGAATAGTTGATGTGGAGACTTTTCTATTTCAAGTGAGTCATGTATCAGCAGAAAAAGGACCAGCGATAAACCTTCCGAAGTTGAACACTTATTCCCACTCTATGGCATGGTGATGGAGTTAAGGGAGGATGGGAATAGGAAAGGCAACCTAGCCAGCATTTCAAAATCAACAGACATATAAAATATTATGAATAAAATAGAATTGCTACTGCTCTTAAAAATTCTACAATCATGTTAAGTTTTAGGGATTCTGTTTTAATGCATAAAAATATGGACAGAATCTGATAACGTTGCATGTAGATGTGCTGAGAAGTGCTGAATAAAACTGTGACATCATTTTGAAAGTTCAGTTGTAAGGATGGGACAATTGCCTGAATATTCTAGTTTAGCATTTAGAAGGCTGGATTTCCAGTGTGTTTGCTCCCCGTGCTGTGATGATGCCCACACATTTGTTCACTGCTTCTAACGCCAAACATTTATTGAATTATATTAACAAAATTTTAAAAAGCATTATAAAGCTATTATAAAACTGTATTTTAAAAATTATATTTGCAGTTATTTGTAAAGTTTTCACCATTAGCAGAGCTATAGATTGTAACAAATATAAACTTTGCAAAGTGTTTCTTAAGAAAAGAGAGATGAGAATATAAAAGGGAATTATTAGCATTTATTTTTCTCTTATTTGGATAGTATGTTGATATAAAAATGCACTCTGAATCAGCAACATATAAGAATTTATCACAGAAATCAAAGGGAACACTTTGGTACAATCTTGGGAACAGATTCTGAAATATGTTGTTTTTAAGATATTAATACTCCTAATCAGTTCCCTTTTTTTGTTGTCATTTTATTTTTGTCCAACTTTTTCTAAATTAGAAGTCACATGGAGTTATTTTGTTATTATTACTTTTTGAGGAATGAATGGGACAGAAATAGCAACTCTAACAATTCAGAATTCTTAAAATTATACTAAGTGTTTGACTACATGTAAAAATGAAGAAAAAACTTGTCATGATTATTGGAATTAAGGAAAAATAGAGATGTGAGTAAAAAGCTGACTAAAAGCACAGGGAGTGCAGTGATTCAAACTGCTGGCATATTTTCTCCACTTACATATGTTGTCTTCTTGTATGTTAATCCAAGTAAAGCAGTGTGTCATTTGTGTTCTTACATGATTACTCAACTGACAAAAAGCTTAACATGTGTTCACTGCACAGTCATTTCAGCAGTGCTGTTCTCACCCGTATGTTTCAAATACTCTGGGATTTGCTGTGATTGTTTGTGCTGCAACAAACTGTACAGGATAAAATATGATTCTGTCCCACATACATTTTGGATATTTTGTTTGTCTATTAGGGAACATAGAAGAAAAACTGAGAGTGAGTTGGAAAGCTAAGTGTGCAAGTAGTATTATCAAAGAAAGGAGCAGTACTGGAGCACTTACCCAGTTGTAGTGTTAGCCTTCCAAGACTCTCAAGTTGAATGATGGATTTTCTGTTTACTAATCTTTCATAACTTATTTGTATGCTAGGAATTGGAGAGTTGTGTGTCTGACATGCAGTTGATTGAGTGGAAGACTCAAAGAAATGACTCTTCAGTCAGCGTGCATATACAGAATAGCTACTATGTGTACATACAGGTACAACCTCTGTCTTCTGCTTCTGTGCTGCAAGATTATTTTTCATTTAAATGATTTCTATTATTTAATTTTTTTTAAAAAAGAACAACTAATACCAAATATTATATAAATAACAAATATTACTCCAAAATAAGGGTTAAAAGGGTTCTGATATTTCCTAGATAAGTTTTCCAAGCTGTCTTTTGAGGTGCAATCATATCTGAAAGATGGCAGTAATGGAAGTCCTCGTAATTTCCAGCAGACTTCATTTCAGTAAGTTCTGTTTTTTAGCAGTCACAAAAAGCAGCTGAATCAAGACATAAATTATTCTTTTTTTTCATTTGAAAGGGTATTTAAAATTATCAATATTCTTTTTTCCTTATCTATAATGTAGGCTACTGAACTTAAATTAAACGTTGAATTGTATAGAACAGGAAAAATACTTTCTATGGATATTGTTTGCATTTCTTATTTAGAATCAGCAATGGAGGTGTATGGCCATTTGTATGAGGTTCTTCAGGAGCTGAGCTGAGTGAGCTGAATTTGGCTAACTGTATCCATGCCACTGATGCTTCTGTCAAAGAAATAGCACAAAGGTATTATTGCCCAGTACAATATTTTTCTGATGGGATTAGACTTTCAATATGTTTTTAATGTCAAAGTTCTTATTATGTTAATAAATTGATATAAATACACAACTGATTATATACAGAAGTTTGCACTAGTCCCTTGCTAGTTTGTGCTAGTTCCTCGCAGTAGCCTCTTGCTAGTCTGTTATTGTAAGTATCTTAAAATGATCCATTATACCATGAAGAATTCATCAATATAAATATGGAAACCTGAGACATCTTAATTTTATGAAGAAAGGACTTACGAGATTGTTGTCAGTAACAAAACTGCATTAAATGATTAGTATGTCTGTGTCTCATTTTTGTAAGCCCAATAAATAATCATGTCTGTGCAAACAAAAATTATTCAGTTATTAAAGTCCTTCATTTCCTGGTTCTCAGAAGGAGTATTAGTATTGGCAATCAAAATATAATTTCTAAATCTCAAGAGAAGTTTGGAGTCAGTCTTTCCACTCATTACTTGATGTCTCAGCAGGCCCCTTGTTTATACTTTCATAACATTAGTTGTGAACAATTATAGCATGCTTGCTTGTAAGCGAATGCCATCTCTGATTTTTTTATGGAGTCTTGCCCCTAAAGCTCTGAGCAGGGATGCATTAGTAGTTTGAAGGGGTAAACTTCTTAGACCTTTCAGTTTAGTAAAGGGAACACGCAACTTAATGTAGTTATTGAGGAAGTAAAATTCCATCTTCCATGTGTGCAGGTTTGCAGAACCTTGCAATGTCTTCATGGTTTGAGGTATTTGCAATACTTGTATATTATGAATGTAGTCTCTGGAAGTACCAACATAACATAGATGTCAAGAGCATGGTACAAACCCATGGGTCTAGAGAGTCTATTTTCATAGGCACCCTTAAAAAAATCACAGGGATTATTACAAAAATGTACTTGTTATACTACATTTCTCTTTAAAAAATGGAAAGCCAACAATTATGGTTTATTTATTTATTTATTTTTAAATTTAATTTAGATGTCATCAATGACCTACCTTAATCTACATCACTGTAAAAATGTGACTGATGCTGGAATTGAAGCTTTGGGAAATATGTTGTCAGTGATATCTATTGATCTCTCTGGAACCTGCATCTCAGATATGGTACATACATATATAATTAAAAAAAAAAAAAATCTGTTTACTATTTATCTAGACTTCCAGAAAAAAACAGAATCACAAATCACAGAACCATAGAACGGCTTAGTTGGAGGGGACCTTAAAAATTGTCTAGTTCCACCCCCCTGACACCCACCAGATAAGACTGCCCAGGATCCCATCCAACCTGTCCTTGAATGCTTCCAGAGATGGGGTATCCACTACCTCTCTCAGCAATACATTCCAGCACCTCACCACCCTCTGAGTAAAAAACTTTTTCCTAACATCCAACCTGAATCTTCCTCTTTTAGTTTTAAGACATCCCCCCTTGTCTTGTCATTATCAGACCATAATTTATGTCTATCCATCCCCCTCCTGCTTGTAAGCTCCCTTCAAGGCTGCAATGAGGTTTCCCCAGAGCCTTCTCCAGCCTAAACAAGCCCAGCTCCCTCAACCTTTCTTCATAGGAGAGGTACTCCAGTCCTTGGATAATCTTTGGGGCCCTTCTTTGGACCTGCTCCAACAGCTCTGCATCCCTTCTGTACTGAAGGTCCCAAACTTGTACACAGCACTCTAGATGGGGCCTTACAAGAACAGAATAGAATGGGACAATCACCTCGCTCTCCCTGATGGCTACCACTCTTTTTTATGCAGCCCAGAATACTCCTGGCCTTCTGGGCTGCAAGTGCATACTGCTGATTCATATCCAGGTTCTCATTCATCAGGCTCTGCTCTCAGTGAGTTCTTCTCCCAGTCTGTATTTATATCTGGGATTGCCTCAACCCAAGTGCAACACCTTGCACTTGGCCTTATGGAACCTCACTGGATTCTTGTGCACTCACTTTTCAAGCCTGTCCAGGTCCCTCTGGATGGCATCTCTTCCTTCAGTTGTAGCAACTGCACCAGTCAGCTTGGTGTCACTGGCAAACTTGCTGAGGGTACACTCAATCCCACTGTCTATGTCACTGGTAAAGATGAAGAGCAAAGTTCCCAATACAGACCCCTAGGGGACATCAGTCATGACCAGCCTCCACCTGGACATTAACAACAGTCTGGCTGTGACCATCCAACCAATTCTTTATCCAGCCTTCAAATACATGTCTCTTCAATTTAAAGATAAGGATGTGACGTGAAACCATGTCAAAAATGTTGCACAAGTCCAGGCAGAAAACATCAGTTGCTGTTTTTTTTCCACCAATGCCATCACTCCATCACAGAAAGCCACTTGGCTGGGCAAGAGCTGCACTTGGTGAAGCCGTACTGGCTGTGTCAGACCACCTCCTCATCCCTTATGTATCTCTTCCAGCAGGATCCACTCCACAATCTTCCCGGGCAGAGATTTGAGGCTCACCAGCCTGTAGTTTCCCAGGTCTTCCTTTCTCACTTTCTTAAATATGGGAGTGATGTTTCCATTTTTCCAATCACTGGGGACCTTGCCTAATAGCAACAGTTTTTCAGATGTGATGGAGAGCAGCTTGGCAACCACATCAGCCGGTTCCTTCAGATGCGTGTCATCTGGCCTCATTGACCTCTATACATTCAGTCTTGCTTTGCTCTTACACTGGGAGGGATTTTGCTCCCACAGCCCTCATTTAGAAGTTCAGGGACACGAGAGGCTTGGAAAGCCTGACTGAATGTGAAGACAAAGGCAAAGAACCTGTTAAGTACTTCAGCTTTCTCCATGTCTGGTGAGGCCAGCTCTCCCTTCTTATTTATCAGAGACTGACATTCTCATGCCTGCCTCTTCTGCCCAATATATCTAAAGAAACCCTTGTTGTTATTCACATTCCTCAACTCCATATGCACTTTGGTGTTCCTCATCTGATCCCCACACCAATGGACAGCATCCCTATATTCTTCCCAGGCCCCCCATCCCTGCTTCCACTGCTTATACTTTTCCTTTTTTTTCTGTCAGCCTGACCAGTAGGTCCTTGCTTAGCCATGCTGGTTTCCTGCCTGTGTGCCTGATTTCTTATTCTGAGGGGATCAAGAGCTCTTGTGCTCTCAGAAAGGCATCCTTAAAGCACTGCCAGCTCTGTCCTGTTCCTTTGTCCCTAAGGACAGTTTCCCAGAGGATCTCATCCAACAGTTCCTTAAACAGTCTGAATTTCTGTCTCATGAAATTCAGTGTCCTGACTCTGCTCTTTGACAGCCTGCGTTCCTTGAGATCACAAAATTAGCCAGTTAAAAACTCGCATGTATATGAAGCAGTGGAGTTCCAATATCATTAAAACATATTTTAGAAATGTGTAATACAATGTTTTCCCATACAGAGGCAGTACCTAATAAAAGGTAATTCTCACTTTGGACATTTTTCATATTTGAAAGAGAGAAAAAGAAACAAACAAAAAAGATATTTGACAGCTCTGAACCTGATCCATTAAAAATGTTCAATAAACCGATTTATTTTTTTTTCTCCAGGATGATTAGGCCTGAGGAAAGCTGAAAAGTTGGTGTTTTTAAAGGTTAAATTTTCAAAAAATGTACTTTCCACAAGATAGATTTTATGATTAAAGTATTAGTTCTAATAGAGGGACTGCACTATGCTGTGGTCTAGAAAAATAATCTCGCGTGAAAGAATTGCAAACAAGGTGTCTTCAAACTGTCAAGTTGCTAAGACTCTGGAAAGCAATATAGCAAGTGTAGCAGCCAGGTTAAACATAGCAGGCCTCCACATAAGATGTTCTTGGCAGATCCTGCCTTGTGTGCAGGGTTTAGAGCCAGCTCTGCTGTTACTTTTGCATTTCAGGCAAACTCTTCACTGAACACTGAAATCTAGCAGAAACTTTATGAAGAAGTGAATGATTCTATGACTTCATAAGAAAACTGTTGCTATGTTCATTCAATTGCTGTTCAATCAGAATTCTGATCCAAAACTTTACTGTTAGTACAAACAGTAATGTCTTTTTTTTAAAAAAAAAAGCCCTTATCCCTCACAGAGGCCTGAAAATTATTTAAAAAACAAAACAACAACAACAAAAAAACGAAACAAAAACAAACAGAAAACAAACTAAGCTAAAAAAAAGAGAATTGGGAAATCCAAGGAGACTTCATTTAATGTGCTTATTTTAAATATTATAAGATATTTATGTATTAAAATTACATTGCCTTCACAGGCCTTGAATTACTGTCCCACAGTCTTTCGACACAAACGTTTTCTCTCTTTCTGCAATCCATACACAGCCTCTTAAAGTGCTGCATTGTTTCTTCCTCTAGTTTTCACATAGCACAACCCATGCCGTCGGCAATAATCCAAGCTCTTCTGCTTACACTGCATTTTTAAGGCATTCAGTTTCTTCCCTCCCACAAGACAGATAAACTAAGCTGGATATTGACCATTTATCATGCTTGTCATTTCTGATCTCAGTGCCTTGCTAACCAGACATCTGTAGGTTTTCACTGTTTAATGTGCTTAACTGTATGGCTCATATTTGTAATAAATACATTTCCTAATCTTACAACATGAGTTGATGGAAAGAAATAGATCAATCTGCTTTATAAAAGAACTATTATTTGTATGTTTTGACTTACTATTATTCATTTTATTAGCATATAAATGGAGTTGCATTAAGATTCTTTTTCAAGTACTGTGTCCAAATTGCTTGAAAAATGTAGTAGAAAACAGTTATTTATGTTCAGTAATTGACACTATTACACTATACTGACAGAGAGAAGTTGTAAGACTTTTTTTCTTTTTTTTTTTTTCTATCTTGGTTGTGATACATGCAGTATGCACAACATAAGTCTGCAGTATGCAGAGAATGTTCATTTTTTTGTTTTTCAGATGATGGCAGAATCATTCAGCCCACCAAAACAGAGCAGAATTTACTGTAATGATAATACCAACATGTACTTAGGGGAAGAACAGGGGAGAAAAGATACATTAGAGTTAGATTTTCTTACAGATTTGTACCTTGTGTATGACTGACTTAATTAAGACTATAATCAAAATGGAAAGGGTTTTGTTTTTTCCCACTGTTGGTGCCTTTCTCTTCAATAGTTTCTTTGGGACAGAAATGTTCCTGTTGAAGTCTGTCTTTCATTCAGAGAATTTGTTGCATTTGGAAGAAATATATTGGCTCAAACTTTTGCCTGACGAGAGAGCTTGTTAATACAGAAAAATACTGTAGAGTCATTGTAGACTCACAGTTATAATAAAATATACTGCTTAGGAAAAAAAAAAAAAAAAAAAGGTAGTCTCTCATGTTTGCAGAAATGTATTATATTTGTCCAGAATCTATCAGTCAGTAGTAGATAAGTCAAGAAATTTCATCACTTACTTAACTTTGTACGTGTGCCTAAGTGTCTTGGTAAGTCAAAGCCAAAGACCATTCATTCATGAAAACAAATACCATCCTCAGAAGGGGATGTCAGCTGTATGTGTGTGAGGACTGCCTATTCTATTACTGTGATGGGAACACTGTCAGTCATCTCCAAACCTATTTGTCGTATAAAATAAGTCCCGGTGATTCAGTGGAAATGCTTCCCTGAGATGGTGAAGCAGTTCTAGTTATAAGATTTGTTCTGTTACTCTCCATATTTTTATTAAAATGTCGTAAACTATTTCTGATGTTTGATGTGATGCAGCCTTTGCAGTTTTGCTCCAGTCATGAGTCTGAAAGCGAGCAGCTGCGCAGTGTTCATCTTAATTCTGACACAAGTTGCTAATGCACATGGTCTGGACCACCCATCTTCTTTTGATAGAAAAAATCATTAAATATTGAAATATTGGGACTTTCAAGAAGTCAAGCAGGATTTAGACAGTCAGAGGAAGCATAACAAAGAATAAAAAAGGAATGGTTAAAGTAAATCACTTGACTCCTGACATACAAATATACACTGTACAGCAAGAAAAACTGTACATGCCCATCAGGGAAACTTGTTGTCACTGGTAAATCACACTCTGTGTAATAACGAGAGGGAATAAGATAGCCTTAAGTATAAAAAACAGATAAAACACTTTAAAAATTGAAAGAACTCTGATACATTTCTAAAATTAGAAGACAAAAAGTAAGTATGGAGTTTGTGAAGAAGTTTTCTACCAGTTATTTCTTCATCTTCTTCCATAGTGGCTGTTATGCATGAAAGTCTCTCTCTGTAATGACCCAAGGTCCCATTCTCTCTTCTGGTTGTCATTCCTCCTCAAGAATCATATGTGACATCAAGTCACTTAATCAGTCACAGATTTTTTGCGTCCTGGCCATGTCAAATTGGTCTTCAAATTTGAGGATAATTTGTAATCCTTGGGAACTATGCAGTAGTGGCTACATGATGGCTCTATAAACAATTAGTTCTACTTTCTTTTCCTGTATGTTTGTACTTAATGATTTTCAGATACTGGCTGTGCTTTAAGGCCAGGCTGCAACATAAATATTTACTAATATATCAATAAGATGTTTCTAAGCAGTTCACAGTGGGAAAAATACATCTTGGCTTTATGCAGTTATTTAGAGTAATATTTTTTTTTCTTTTTTTTTTTTGCAGTCTTTGCGGGATTCAGGATTTATGGTGTCATGAATCCATAGCCTGGCTCCACATTTGGGTCTGTTAGAAAATTAGAGTATTAGGACTGAGGAAGAGCCCTGTGAAGGTTAGGAAGAAAATATTATCTATAAGCAGCAACAGACTGCAAATGAATTGGCTGCATTTGATTTCTAGATAAAGCAGGCAGAAGGAAATGATAAACATTCAAGCAAGCTCCAAATTCAAATGCTAGCAGTCCAGTTTTCTTGGGAAAGCAGAGGAAGAGAATTTAGCCTGAAGAATTAGTAACTTACTTCTGCCTAGAAATAGGAGGCTACCCCAGGGAGATATTGCAGTCAATTGTTTTGGGCTCAATGTTTTGACAAAACAATTAGTCACAGTAGAAGTCCCGTTGTCTGGACTCAGTATCAAGAAACAATAGCAACTGTATTTCACAAGTCAAGATTTTGTCTAGCCACAAATGGTGTTAGATACAGAAATTAAGTAATTAAGTAATAATACATTTAAGGAAATGTATTATACACAAAGTCATATAGGGAGATTTCTGCTAAAAATGTGTTTACTGCTCCTCTAAACAAATCTGACGCACCTTTATATTAGCTCAGGTACTGCAGACAACACAGCTACATTTGTTACAAATTTACCAGGTTTCCAGAAAGTGTTATCATAAACAGAAGAAACAGAACTCAGTTCTGCCATCTACAAATTATTATTAGCAAAATGATACTGCAAGATCTCAGTTACGTTCTTCTCTACTAGAAAGAGCTTGAAACTGGCGCTAGAGCATGGCTGGTATGTGCAGAAATCAAAGCATTTTAGAGAATGAGCTGAGCCATTTCAAATCAAATCTCTCTCAAATGGAAGGTGGAAGCTACTTCTTAAGAGCTCTTCCAGGATAGGGGTGACTTTGAAGTCAGTCTCTTTGATTTAGGGAATGCGCAGGAAGAGACATCTGTTTGTCTCTGGAACATGAAGACAAAGATACATTACAGATGCTGACCTTTAGGGTTACCAAGAGATATGTGAACAGAAATCTCAGAAGTTGAAAATAGCATAGCACATTCATTGCACTCTGCAGTTGGAAGGCATACACTTGCACTTGGTGAATATAGATAATAAAGAATTGTTCTCTGGTAAGACATAGGTGACTTTCATCTCAAACAACAAAAGACCCTCACCAGATGTTGCAGTGGATTTTCATCTTTTCATTTACAAAACTTTGGTGAAATAATAACAAATGATGTTCTGCAAGTGTCTGTAGGCCTTACATGAAGTAACTGAAATAGAACAATGCAATAAAACTCAGTTGCTTGGAAAAAACAGGTATTAGCAAAGGGTGAAATATTTCTTATAAAGTTGTTTTCCAAATAGAGATGGCAATAAATATGCTATACAGGAGATGTGGGACAAAATATTCCCTTTCTCTGTGGCACTGGAGGGTTGATCCAAGAGACATGAGGAGATTTCTTTATGTTAAAGAATGATGGTTTTGAAAGCCTGTAGAGCAGAAGTCATATTCTTTATGCTGCATTGTGTCTGTTCTGCTAACATATGTTTCCAGGAGTTCTGATGATAATATCATAGCTCTGACCATATCTTGTAAAAATGTCTGGAGGCTTAGTATAGGAGACAGAAGTCTCAGAAATAGGTCAGTATTCCAGATGGGAATCCCTGATGTTGTTTTTCAGAGAATACTACTGACCAAATCAGGAATTCTAGAAAAACTAGGGATAATTAGCTACTCTATACCTCTGTTAGATTTAAATCTGACTTCAGACTTTAGATTTAAATTTAAACTTCACGTAGATTCTTGCACTGAACTTGCTTGAAGAGGTTTATTGTTGGAAATGTCAGTTTTGTAATTTCTCTGTGTGATTGACAGTTCATAATGACATTCCTTGTATTCCATATCTTCAGCCTTTTCCTTTCTCAAATCTACTGTTATTAAAGAAACCCCTCAGAGGAGACCTTGATTGTTATCATAAAAATAATCTTACTGTGACACAACGTTAGTATCATCACATAAAATTATTGTAGATTAGCTTTGAAGTAATAGCAGCAGTCATTGTTGTCTTTTAGCAATATTATTTCATATTTCATTTCCAAATACCATGAAGTTGGGCCACTTTTGGATAAAGAGAACTGGATGAAGAAATTTTGTTCACAAGGTCACACCTATCACTGTCAGTCTCTTCTGTAAGGAATTCAAGTTTTGAAATAAACATATTTGGGGATAAAGTACATAATCTTTTGTTGCCTTGAACAGGACTGCTCTGGTCAACAAAACTTTGAAATCTATTGATTTTCATGTTGCTGTTGAAAACAATGTTTACCATATAAATGTGTCTGCTGAGGAAAAAATGCAGATTTCTCTGTTTTCATAAGCAGCCAGGATTGGAAATCTATTTCATTGTTCCATTTTTTTGTTTTGTTTTTATTCAGCCTGTGAGATTTCAGGCATTCGTAAAATCTGAACTCCAGGCGCACTCTCCCAGCATTATCATTGCAGTGTCCACATCTGGGTTCCAGACACTATTCACATGTGCTTGGTTTTTCAGTATGATATTTGCTGTGCGCAGCGCAGTTCACTGCCTAATTAGATAATTTTTTAACCATACGGACTGAAGCGATAACTTTTGTTTTTCAGTAGTTTGCTTAATGCTATGAAGAACACAGACACTGCTGTAAATATAAAAATACATGTTACAAAAATCAACAATTCATTTTCCTTCAGATTTAGAGCTGAAATTCAGAACAAGGTCCTGTAACCTGGTGTACAAGCAGTGAAAAAGACAAAGCAAATTCTGATCCTTTTGCACTCCTGAAGTAGGAATTTACTGAAGTTGCCAGCTCTCAATTGTCTTTAATACGTTTTGTTGTTTGTTTGTTTGTTTTAAAGTAGAATTTACCTATGAGTGTGATGCCACCATTTCGAGTATTGTCTTCTTGTAGTCAAAATTTGTAGTTGTAATCATAGCTGTAGTCATAAGAGCCCACAGATAAGCAAATCCTAAAGGCAGCAATTTTAAGATATTTCATGGTTGCAGCAAGTAGTATTTTCTTCTTTCAACAAAAGCAAAAAAAAAAAAAAAAAAAAAAAAAAAAAAAAAAAAAAAAAAAAAACCTATGAAAAGTTCTTTCAAACTCAAATTTCGATGGAGATCCATAAATCTATTTTGTTTTATGATTGTGCTGTGTCCCATAGAAGTATTTCTCACGTTGTACTCTTATTCTCCAGTTTCTTTCTTTCTGATTTTTTTTTTTCTTTCTCCAGTGCATTATTTCTGTAAAGAATTCTTGACCTTTTTGTGTACTTCAGGAAAAAATCAGAAGATAAACTACATGCATTCTGCTGAAGATGCTCGCAAGAATCTAGCATTTATGTGGTCCCAATAGAAGTAGATAAAATAAGACTATCTGTTCTGTTGGTTTCTGTTGGATCCATGAAAATCCTGAAGAAATGCTTCAGAATCAGAGGTTAACTAGACAACAATAAGAATTACTTTTATTTTGATTTAGAAAATAATTCCAGCCGATAGGAAAGTTATTTTCAATATCAGAATTGAATGGATATTCAATTGAATATTAGAATGGAAATTCAGACTACAGTTTCTTACCGTGTAAGGATTTCTGTGTGTAACCTCAGGCAGCTCATTTATATAACATCTCCAATCCTCTTTGTAAAAAGCTGTGAAGTTCTGTGAAGGTGCTCTGTGGGATTATTTTTTTGTGTGTGTTTTAAAAGATGCTATAATTCTTAGATAGAACATTTAATATGCAAACACTGAACGTATGAGCATGGTAAAAGCAATTATATATAATTGCATGTTTTGATTTTTATTTTTTTCTGGAATTTTTTTGGGTTTGAGAGCCCTTGGCCACCATGGAAAAATCAAGCAGCTTTCTCTATTGGAATGTAAAAACATTAATGACACTGGGATTCAGGTAAAGCTTAATCTCTTCTCTTGATGTTTCCTGGAAGCCTCTCTATTCTTCAAATTAACCATGTCCAAACAGATGATATTTTACTCTGTGCACCTTCATTCATTCTTCATTATACTATTCTACACTTTCATACGGTCATAGAATCATAGAATGGCCTGGGTTGAAAAGGACCACAATGATCATCCAGTTCCAACCCCCTGCTGTGTGCAGGGTCACCAACCAGCAGATCAGGCTGCCCAGAGCCACATCCATCCTGGCCTTGAATGCCTCCAGGGATGGAGCATCCACAACCCTGGGCAACCTGTTCCAGTGCGTTACCACCTTTTGTGTGATGTGATTTTCTTTTTACAGTCCTTTTCATTTTATTTTTCTTTACTTCCATGAATTTTAATGAATTTCAAATTCTGCCCTCTGCATTGACTCTGAACAATTGTAAGACAGCTTTACATTCTACTGCACTGTACTGTGCAAATTACAACCTAAATTGCTACTATTATTCTCTTCCCCTTGCTCTACAAATCCTTTACCAAATTATATTTATTACATATTTTTCCTGCTGCTAATGTGGGTTTTCAGATAACACTTTCTGTCTATTTAGTCAGCCTTTAGTTGAATGTCATACTTACATGACCAAGCATGGCTAGCTCAATGGAATAGTTAAACTTCTTTTATTCTATTACATGAGGTTCTTCATGTGCTGCTGATATATTGCTACATGCCATTGTCTCTTAGAGGCACAACAATATGCCTCAGTGTAATTCTGAAATCTATTTCTTACCAACAGAAATCCCTAAAAATAATAACTTATGTTTCAATGATACGCACATGTGCTTTCTCCAGACTGCAGATTTCGTAGCTGCTTTATGGAAAGAACAACACAAATTGTACTGTGTCATTTTAAAATGTCCTATAAAAACATCAACTGAGTAATTTGTTAATATCTAATGATGAAATTAATCTGTTAGAAAATGGACTACGTGTATTTTAGCTAGATATTGTCATTCTTAGGATTTCATGCTCCCAGTGGGACAGCTGTTGAATCTCTGTAATTTCCTTTTTACACTGTTTTTATTATGAAAATTATATGCCTTGTTTTTAAAATTTAAACAGCGGATCTCAACAATATGAAGCCAGATGTTGTTCCTAAAATAAGAGATTAGCTTGAACTATGCATTGTTTAGTGTTCTGACCTTAAACTTAGCCTATAAACTGAGAAACTTTCCAGGTCAGTAATCAGATAGGAAATTACTTCATTTTTTAAAAGACAACATACAAATTGAAGTTGTCACAGAGGCAATTATTTACATTGATGATAAGTTAAGAAGTTATACAGTGAGACAAACTTTCCTCTTCTGAATAATCAGCAATTGTAGAAATTTTTAATACTAATATAGTATTTGAACTCCATTTACAATGCTTGTAAATTATTTTGTATTTATGATTTACCAGCTCTTGCTTTTTTAATTAGCTGACAATGAGATTTACCATCCAAATATTTATCCTACTTACACTGTCACTACAGTGCCAACTACATATTGAATTCTGATTCAGTAGTACTCATTATCTTGTTTTGTTACACTGGCATAGTTGTGTTACTGGGAGTCTTTTTATGGGTAAAGCATTGACTGAAGACTGGAAGAGACTTGGAGGGGAAGCAGGGATGATCAGATGTATGCACCGCTTTCCATAAAAGGAGCAAATAATCAAGCACAGAACCTGTGGTCTGGGAAGGAGAAGGCTGATGGAATACAGCTGAGATCTGTACAATCACAAGTGGCGCAAAAAGTGTATATAAGGGTCAACATTTTGCTGTTTGCTTTATATATTATCTATTGGGCATGAAGTGAATCCAGTTTGAGGTCTGGGAGGAAGAAAAGGAGATGTCTCCAAAATGTACTGTTAGGGTGTGAAGTTCCTTATCAAATGTTGGTTCAATATGCTTGAAGCTTGCTTATACTTCAGGAGATTCAACAGATTCAGTACGATTACATAGACTTACACCATGTTTCAAAAAAACAGGCATTAGTTGGTTATTTGTCAGTGGAAGAAGGAATTATCTACCTTGCTGGAAAGAAGAGAGGTAGAATTTACATTCAAATAAGAGCAATTTCTTTTCTGTAACTGAGAATTGATTCTAACCATACGGAACAAAAATAATTAAATCTCGTTGCTCAGTAGTACCAATTTTGTGCCCATAAACCCTTGCAGATTGTCAGGCAAGGTACAGTGCAATCCCTGTCTCTGGCTTCTACATTTTTTCCATTATAAGGCTCCAACATCCATCATTTTATAACCATATATTATATGCATGAGTCAGTCGTTGTTGCACCACAAGGGATGCATCTGGTTTGAATCTTCTAGAGGCATATACATCAGGCCACTAGAATTTGCTTCTTTAGGAATAAATCTGACTGACCAATCATGAATGTTCTGTGTAAAGGTCTGTATTTCCATGTTTTTGTTTCCATTAAACAATGCTCAAGTACATATACCTTTTCTATATCATCAAAAGTTGGTGCAGAGCCAGCACTGCTTCTTTCAGAGGAGAATGTTTAGTTCTGTGTTCTGCTATGATCATTCAGTATCTCAGTATATATTTCAAAAAAAGAATGTGGAAAAAAAGAAGCATTAACATTATCTGTATCTGCAATATGGATTTGATGAATTTGAGTCAAATTGATCCATCAGCAGTGAGCACATGAAGATATAGGTGTAACAGAATGCAGTCATGGATCTAGGAAGGGCAAGTGGAAGAAGAGATAAGAAAGTAACTCAAAGCAAAATGGCACATCTTTATTTGAAGATGGAATCTGAGTCTATGGAAAAAAAAACGTAGAGAGGAACCTCACTGTATGCTGCATATCATAGTTATTCTTTGATGACATAAAGTATACTTAAATTATGTGAAAAAAATGCATATGGAGAGGGCTTTAATAACACAGCTAAGGTAAAATGCTAAGGGTTATAAAATGGCACAAAATAATGCTGACCTCACAGTGTTAATTCATTTACTTGTTCATAGGCATTATAATAGTAAATTATAATCTGATCACATATTTTGTAAATAGGATTTCTTCTCATTCATAGCTGAGACAATGCTCACTTTATGTGCAGCAATTCTGTTTCAGATGTTCATTAGTACTTGTGTGCTTTAAGATCTTATTTACACAGAATTAAAACAGTGCAAACAAGATAGAAAATTATATATCCTTCTTATGCTATTCATTTATTTTAATGTTTTGCAAACTTTGTTTGAAATATTTTCATAACCTCTTCTGGAGATCTTAAGTATTAGACCCAAAGATACAGAGATGAAGATAACAAACCAATCTCCATTTCCTTTGATTGAAAATTATATCCTAATTGCTATTTGCAAAAAAATAATGTAGGGGTAGACTTTAAGAGCAAATACAAATCCTAACTCTGAAGGATATATTAAGTATGGATGTAGGCAAACTATGCCAGTATAAAGAAGATAAACATATCTCTCAGGCATTGAAATCTTGGCTTCAGCTTGTGCTGCATACCCTAGCTGAGAATGTAGTGATTAAATCAGCATGTCTGAGGCTAATTCTGAAGGGAGTTCAGTTTCTCTTACACATGGAAAAAAGATATATCAGTTTTGGTGTTTAGAATATTTCTATATTGCTGTTAACACCCTGTAAAGCTAAAATTTAAATAGGAGAGGTACAGAAGCCAATTTTTATGAATTGTGACTTGTTCATTCTAACCAGTTCTATTTTAAAATAGTCACCATCAAATATTTTGTAAGAGCCCAAACCCAAGAAGCGTTGCATTGGTACAGCCATGCTGATGGAAAAAAAAAAAAAAAAGCAAACAAGTTAGGATACAGATGAAAAATGCTAAAAAATTTGGTCTGTGAAACAAATTTTAGACCTCATAAGTTTCTTCGTATCTATTAATGAGAGGCATTAAAATCACACACCTCTTGGTCATCACAAAGCTAGCATTTGCCACTGATCAGCCATAGGCTGGTGCCTGGGTTCCTGCTTAATGCAAGGACAAAATGTCAGTAGTAAAATTACAATGGACTTTTTTTCACAGTGGTAAGTAAGTGCATTTATGCAGCTGTGTGTGCATGCACGTATTTACTTGTCCATAGTCCTTAGTCCTTAGTAGTCCTTAGTCAATTTACTTCAGAAGTAATTCTAGAAAGTTCTGAAAAGCTTCAAGCAGCCAATATTTTCTATAGAGGAAGATTCTACCTACTGAGGTAGAATCTCTATTGCAATAAATGCCAAATTGCACTGCCTTTAGACCAGGCATGGAAGATCAGCTCAATGACAAGTTTAAGTTATCTTACCATGGTTTTCAGCTGGAAATGATAGAAGAGGAGAGATATTCACTGAAGCTAATTCCACAAAGTGTTCTGCTGCACTTACTTCATGGCACTATTAAGTGAAGAAATAGCATTTTAGGTTACTCTGTTCTTGAGGAAACAAATCTACAGGCTCATAAAACAAAGATTTCAACACACTGAATTAGAAGAAAGGAACAGAATTTTATTCTAATGACCACATAGTTCATATCAGCTCCAGCAGTGGAAATAACTTCTTAATGCAGCTCTCCTTTTTCCAGTGAAATTCCCAGTCTATGTCTGAGAGAATTCACTGCTATGAAGGCTACATAGAACAAATGAAGTGCTTAAGGTGGATCGCAGGATGGATGGAAATGTGTTGTGCATTGAGAAAAACAGAGTGGACACATTTCCAAAGAATGATTGCTCTGTTTGTTGCTCTTTCAGGTGTTCTGCAAAGGCACTAAGCAGCTGGAATACAGTCATGTGTCCTGCTGCCATCAGGTGACAGATGAAGCTGTGAAAGCTTTGGCATTTCATTGCCACAAACTGACATCTGTCAGCATAGCTGATTGTCCAAAGGTGCGCATGAGAATTGGGACAATAGTTTTGGGGTTGCTATTGCAAAGGAATACACAGTATTTCATTCAGGAATTTGGCCTGCTGCCGTCTATATCTTGCCACAGTTCTACAATGCATTCATTTAATTTAAAAATGAGAGCCTAAGTTCAGCTGGTTTATGTTCTGAGACTTGGTTTTTGAGTGTGTTTGGCATTCTTCTAATGGTTGCAGTTAGAACATAAAGATGCCTGCACTGTATTAGGCACAAGCCTGTCTCAAGGAGCTGATGTCTGGGAATGAATAAATAGAAGGGCTTTTAGAGATTCTTCCTGCAGATACTGTCTGAGCTTCTGGTGTTCTGGGTGCTCCCAAAGCAGGGAGTCTGTTTTAATGTGTATTTTCATGCTTTGTTATTTCTCCAGTGCTCTTTCTGAAGGAGATCGCTAGTCTCTACCTACTTCAGCTCTTGATACTGTCCAAAACCTCCTAATGCAACGTATGAGAAAAGCTAGAAACAGAGGAGTACTTTTTAAGAACTTGGCATTTAAGTGGAGAGCAAGCTTCATAACCAGGGATGAAGCACTGTTTGTATCAGATGAGCCTGTAGAAAGTGGCTGCTGAAGCACGGTGAAATGCCTTATGGACATGTTGTTGTGTATCTTCATATCCTCTCTAGGGTGTAGGCCAGGGATGTTGCTCCATGTCTTAGAACAGCCGTTAGATTCATATCTTAAGGATATCTACTACACAACATTAATTATTATATATATAGTTCCTCTGTTCTGTATTCTTTGTTTTTTGGTAGATATTAAGCAATTTTTCCAGTAATAACAGTAATAACAGAAATTGTGAATGTTTATCTTGCCAAAGTAGTTCAAGTTATATATTTTTGCAAGCCACACATTTCACTGAAACTTTTAGGCATCCACACACACATCAAATTTAGCATAAAATATCAGTGGATGCATCTAGGCTGGAAATTGCCTAAGTTTCTGATTATCAGAGCAGCGAATTGTAAAACAGAATCCTGGAAAGGGAGACAGGGACAAAGTGTCAGCTAATGTTAGGATGGCCCTTAATAAGGGAATGAACTGGGTCATATTTTGTAGTTCCTTCAAATAGGAACAAGAACTAAACTCAGTAATCTAGTAGTAATCCTTTTCTAGTGCTTCGTTCCTAGACGATATCTTCCTCGTTAAGTGGTTACTGAGCCAATCTGTTAACCACTGTATTCAGAAAAGAACATCAAGGCTTTTTCAAATAAAACTACATGTAAGTTTACAAGTCTTCTTCTGACTTGAATCCAAATTGACGCTCCATAAAATGAAACTAATGGGTCATTCAAATCCTTTGGCAACTTCTAGTACAAATTGAAGAGGTCCAGCTGCTCAGTAAGGAAACATTTTCTACTCAGAGACTATTTTAAAATGGCTGGGAGATTAAAGTAAGAATGAACCTTTTGCAAAGGGTAGATGTTAATACATCTAGATCTAGTCAGTCATGTTGTGTTGTTGTGTCTGACAGCCATGTCCTACAACAGCAGGACCCAAACCCAAATGAATTAAGAAAAATTGTAGCAAAAGAACATGAAAATACAATATAGAAGCGTGTATCCAATAAGAGTGTTTTGGCATGTGCTAGGCAGGTTACTATAAAATTAGAGTAGTTTTTCACTTCAATCATATTTTGGGGGCAAATTAATTGTCTTTAAATAAACCGCACTGGCTTCAGTGAGCCTTTCTATCATGTATCTTCATGCCCCCAGGAGATAAAATTTATGCTGATAATATAAAATATTCAGCAGTGCAGTTCTGAGTCTTACTCAGGGAATGAGCCTGATTCAGAAGTAATTCTTAACTTACTTCATAGGAAAAAAATGAAGTTGCTCTGGGAAACATATCTTATACATGAAAAAATACAGAAAGAATTGAATCTCTGATTGAGTGATTCAGGTATTTAAATAGCAAAGTTCTGAAGACACCATTCAATGGACAGTGAATTCAATAATTCAGTCCTGTGGCAGGATTAGCATTTGGAGTTTGATGAATGTGGATTTCCCTTAAACTCATCTGACAGTGAAGTTCAGTAGCAACTTCTGTTTATTTCAGTATTAACCTCATTAACCATTTATTAACCTCTAAATCTGTTTGTTAACCTATTTTATATCTTCTCACTGAGCACATAGCCAAACTTTAATTTTCAGACACTGAAATTGCGTGCTATTAAGTGGTTTTTTTTGGGTTTTTTTTTTCAACTTTTTTCTAATTTCAGGATCCCTTTTGCTTCATTTACAGATCACTGATACCTGTATCCAGTACTTGGCCACAGCTTGCAATTATCTCCACTTCTTAGACATCTCAGGTTGCATTAATCTTATTGACAAAGCACTGAAATGTCTTTGGAAAGGGTGTAAGCATCTCCAGATTCTCAAGATGCTCTACTGTAGAAATATTACCAAGCAAAGATACTTCCTAATCTTCATTTAGTTTTAACCTCAAAGCATAAGATCTGTCTTCACTGGTATTTTGCTGCTCCTTTCATCTCCATCTTTCTCCTTCATCTGAGGAGTGGGAAGGGTGGGCAATGCCCACGTGGCTGCCTTAGGATTCTTATGGCTCAGTGTAGGCATCTACATGTCCTACCGTCAGCCTGAAGTGAAGGGAAATAGGGAATCCATCTATCTTTATCACAGAAATTGCTCTGTTAGAAAAGTTTAGGCAGACATGAGGTATCACATGAAGGAAATGTGGAATGTGAGGGAGAAAACCAGGCTGGGCCTCCTGCCCTCAGCCATCATTTTGACTACATTCTTGAGCTTACTCAATGTGTTTGTAGGAGCCTGGGGGAGCCCACATCCCAACAATTAAATGTCAGTGTAGGGATGAAGTGGAAGTGAGCGTTGATGTGGGACTGTGCTCGTAATGTAGCATAGTTACAGTGAATGAATCAAGGTACCATAAGCATAGTTTCATGAAGTATAAGTGAAACATACTACAATTGGAAATAGCAGGTCACCTGCCACCATGTTTCCCCTCTGTTGTAAATGGACCAGCTCTGTTGCTTCTCCATGACATTCAACACCAGTCCATTTTGGTCAGGTTTAGATTTGCGTTTTCAGCCCTGAGTCTGCAAGATGCACACTTCCATTGTGTTTAAGAGCCCTGCAGAGTAATCACCTCACAGCTAGAGCTGCAAAGTGGCCAGACACACCAAAGGTACTGACACTGCTTAGAAAAGAGCTAAAATCTAAGTATGGTTGATATATATGGGTACACAATTTTTTACTTAAATAACATTAAATATATTGGATTATAGAGAGTATCCAATAAGAAGTGTTAACCCCCACATAGAACATTTACAGGACTGGTGTAGATTGAGCACCCCCAGCTAAATCATTCCAGGGTTCAACAGTCACTTCATAGACAACAAAGCTAATGCAGATCCTTAGCAATTTAAAAGATATCTAGTGTGTTTCGTGCTTTCCAAACCCTCCTTGGTTTATTTTCCTGTTTCACCACAGACAATTCTGTTCTCATTACTTTAATTTTTTTTTTACTTGTCAAGCCTCATTTTTGTCTCTCTGACTTAGTTTTCTTAATGTCATCTTAGAATTTCCTTCTCAAAATCTCTACTTCTTTAATTTAATTTAATTTAATTTAATTTAATTTAATATGTGTTAACTATGGAAAGAGTCTTGAAGGATTGGTATGCAACAGTGGTGATTGACAAAAATCATTATAAATGAATTACACTTCATTCACACACACACACACCAAAAAAAAAAAAAAAAAGAGCATTTGAAATACTTTTAATTTCTTCATAAGTTTCCAATCTACAGTTTTTCCCATGTTAAACCTCAGGGGGTTTTCTCCTACTCACAGATTACTGTTGACTTGCTTTTTCTCTCTCTTATACCTCTCTATGGAGCACTAAGCAATATACCAGCCCTTTGGGGCTCCGGTTGCTTCTACATCTTTTTGTACAAGCAATAAGTAATAGGAATGGAAATTCAGTGCCTCCCAATTTGTTTGGTGAGCCACAAACAAAGAGCTGACTTGATTTCTCAGAAACTCACTTGCAGCACTGTAGCTTTTGCAGGATGACGAGGACTGTGGCTCTGCCTCAGAGTCCCCCATGCCACGGATTCCCTGACCATCTTGATTAAACTCTCCTGACTCAGCTAAGGAATTTCCCAATTAGCTATTTTTACTGTAAAGAAAGCCCTAGAGAGTTACAGATTTTTACAAAACAAAAAGCAGCCATGAGACACGTATCTCCACCCAGTGTCATCTTTCTAGTTTATTTGACTTTTCAAACCAGGAAAAACACCACTTTTATTTTCTTGATCCTGACATTTTGGTGTGTGACAGCAGTTGGTTCTTTTCTCAGCTATCCTCAGCCTCCATTCCTTTGCACGTACATTCAATGATAGGAAAGTTTTACCCTGTGCAGCTTGAGTCAGGGACAAAAGCTATCAAGAGGCTCCAGGATGTAAAATAATTCAGCACTGATGCTTCTCTGCTTGTTCTTTCTAACACAGCCAAAGAGCCTCCCTAGACCTAGGCAGGCTGCAGAATGCACTGAACCTATTGGATCGGAGTGGTTTTTCAATTGCTATTAGATGGCATGATATGCAGAAAATAGAAAGGGGATCGCAGTCAGATTTAGATATTTTCCTGTATGTGTCAGACTTTCTAAAAAATCTTTTATTGTAATTCAAGGTCGGTGTTGGGAAGAGAACACCTTTCTGCCAAAAACTACATCAGAAGCTCAGTAAAATATAACAATGATTCTGCACTGTCAGTCGTCCTGCAGCACATTTTTACTGGTGACATCAAAAGCAATGACACTACTGTCACTTACATGTCATCTTATATATTTATAAATTGTGTTTTTTAGTCACAACCAATATTGCTAATGAATTGTAAGCAACAGATTGACATAAACAACAGATCCCTGTTCCTTGTTTTCAGACTGACTTAAAACCTTCTGCTGGCCCTGTGAGTCACAGAATCACAGAATCACAAAGGTTGGAAAAGACCTTCAAGATCATCCAGTCCAACCATCCACCCATCACCAATAGCTCTCACTAAACCATGTCCCTCAACACAAAATCCAAACGTTCCTTGAACACCTCCAGGGTCGGTGTCTCCACCACCTCCCTGGGCAGCCCATTCCAGTGCCTCACCAATCTTTCAGAAAAGTAGTATTCAGAAAAGAGTCTCACAGAAGGTGTTGGAAAAGTCTGTTTTCAGGTGTATTTTGTATTCTGTTGGTGTGAAACACACATTTCAGAGACATTTCATTCCATATTCAAGGAGACAGAAGGGATGGATCTGGAGAACCTGCTAAAGCAATAGAAGAAGTATGCTTTTAATTTGAAGCTGCTCTGCAAAATTTATAAATCATGTATACTTCATTTTGCCAAAGGAATTCCCCATTATTAAACACTACCCAGTCCTAGCAGACATCTCCTAATAGATGAGCCATGCAATCATTGAGGCATATCTCTTGTACTGTGTCATACACTTTTTCAGAGCTTTGTTTTTACTCTTTCCTGAGATTTAAATAGAAAACATATGGATCTACTCTATATGACTCTCAAAGCTTTGCAATGCAGCTTCTTTGGAAACGAGCACAAAGATTGTCCACTCTTGCCAGTACTAGATAGCATTTGATAGCATTCTATTTGCCAGCATACTAGTCTCTACCGCCAAGTTTAAAAAACATCCTATGAACTGATAGCCCATGGTGTTCTTCAGTATCTGGAGGCTAATGACCTTCTAATTAAGCCACAGAGGATCATGGATGATCTGCCTGCAGTATGAAGTGATGATAAAACTTCTTTCTTCTACTAGAGGAAAACAAAGGTAACTCACTGCTCCTTAAAAGGTGGCTTCTGTAGAAAAGGCTGTGCCAGCTTTGATGTGCTTAGGAGTAACCCTGGGGGACGTCATTGGTGTCTAGAGAAACACCACTCTTCATTGTAACAGTCTCCTTAAACTTCATAACTTCGCAAGTACCGCAGGAAGTCAGCTAAGAGCTGAGATAGCTGTAGGTCTCTATTAACCTTTCTGAGTGCCGAATGAATGAGGAAATCTGCCATTGCCATCTGAATTCCTTGCTAGCCAGTGTAGTGCTCTGAGCAAAGGGTAGGTTGTGTGCAACAGTCTGCTTCTGATGAAGAGCAAGAATAAATGCTTCCTTCTTTCTTTTCTGCTCTAATAAGGAGCCAGTTACATTTCTTTTAAAGTCATGACCATTTTGTTAACGAATGACTCATCAACAATTACATTTTTTTGTCTTTGAAATGGAAAAGGCATTGGTTCTTAATAGCTGCAATACATCTGACACTTGGAGAACATTCTGGTTTTTGTTTCGGTTTTGTTTGGTTTGGTTTCTGATGGTTGCTGTTAGTAAGCAGATTGCAAGAGCTCTATTTTCTTGAAAAAGCAAACACTTTCAAATACTATCCAAATATTCAGGTCTCAGGAAGGATTTGGGCATCTGACAGCCTTGTAATCAGAAATGAAGGCAGCCTACACATGAGTTGGTGATGGACTAAGAGTACTCTTCAGTTGAGCAAGCAAAAATTATCATAGTGCTGTCTTCTCACTCACTGTTAAGTTGGTTTTCAGCTGTGACCTGAGTAGAAACTTCACTGCTAAGTGGGGGCTCCTGGAAAGCTACATTTCAGCTTTTGTGTGCACTTGAACTGGATACTCTAAAATAACACTACAGGGTTGACATAGACTTTGGAGCACTTTGGATTGTATGTGGATTTATCATGTTCTGTAACCTGGAGGATGCTTTCTGCTTTTCTTGTCTCCATTTGCTTCTGTAGCTTCACTACATTTTGCCCCCTGTGTAGGTTTTTCTTTTCGATCACTTTTTCTTGATTGTTTTTTTAACCTTTCCTCATTACCTTGAAATCTCTGCTTTTAATTATAATGAACCTGGTAAAATCTTCTGAATCTTGGAACAGCTCGGAATTCAGACCATGAGGAAGAACTGTAAGCTAACTCCTCTTAGTAAAAGGGATTGAAGCTTTGGGTAAGGATTGAATTACGTATTCCAGTACTGCTCAAGCCATGTCTGTGGTTTGAGCTTTATACCAGGAGACACTTGCTTCCAAAGATAATTGTAATTATTCACAGAAAAGATTTTATTCATCAGTGCATTCATTTAAGACTTTATATGAATGAATAAAGAGGCTCTATCATGGTACAGCACATCTTAAGTAAATGATGTATTTTGCCATGTGTTGGTGATTAACGAGTGGCTGTTTCTGGCAAACTAATCAGCTGTAGCTCCAGGCATGGGACAGCGTAAGTTTCCAAAAAAATAGTAACAGCTCCACTCACACACGCTTCAGCCAGCCACTATACATTGCAGTTTCCATGAAAAACAGGAATTTGGACTTGCATGAGTTGATTTTGTTTTATGGCTTAGGGCTTATAGCTCACATAATTTGTGCACACATTCCTCAACGGCAAAGGCCTCCTTAATAGAAAAACAGCTAGAGCCTTGTGTTCGTGGGCTAATACAGAGTGTCAGTGTTGTTTTTTAAAAAATACAAATCCTGCAATGGTGGGAAAGGAGCCCTCCCATCCCACTGCTCGTGGCCCTTTTGCAGCCCTCCTGCTTCCCCAGCCTGCTGCAGGGATGTGAGCAACACAGCTGCACATGGCTGGGGCTGCTGTAACCAGCTTCATGGTTTTCACTTTGGAAAAAGAAATACCAGAATATTACTAATATCGTAGCAGCATTAGTCAGATAAATTTTATTATCTGTCTACTTCAATTCGGATTTTTTTTTCTAGTACTGTCTAGATGCTATGTATTATAATCTCTTATGGGGCTCAGTGGGGAGGAAGGCGGCCTTGCTGTGGCCATGACACATAGATAGGTTGAGCTGCCTGCAGGCGATGCAGGGCTGGCCCCTCCTCAGCAGCACATGAGCACGTTGGGCCCCAGGGAGCTTGCTGGCACGCAGGCAGTGAGGGAGAAGCCAGGGGAGGGAGCTGGGGGGTGGCTGCTCTGTGCAGCTGGGAGCAGGCCAGGAGCCAAGCTGCAGAAGGATGGAAAGAAACGGGCTTTCAAAAGACTGCAAGCATTGGGTCGAGTTCGAGCTCAGGAAGCCAGTGGAAGCTGCTGGGCCGATAGACACCGCGTCTGGAAAGGAGGGAGAGTTGCTCTTGAAGGTCTGTCAGCCAGCAGTCCTGATTTTGCCCCGTATGTGTGTCACTTTATTCACTTCTCGGTGTTCTAACAGAACACTGCAAAGGGGCATGGCCACAGAAGGGACAGACGAGTAGGAATGAGTGACAGCTACTGGAAAGGAGGGACGTGACACAGTCTGTGCTTTTGGACACCATAAATGATTCCTTCCTGGTTCAGCTGCCACAGACTCCCCAGCCCAGCCAGACATGGGCACGCCTGAACAAACTGAGATGAGGACCATCAGGACTGCCACAGGGCTGGAGCACAGGCTGGGAAAGGACAGGCTGAGAATTGGGCTGGTCCAAGTCTGGGAAGACTCAGATCAGAGTGGGAGAGACCATACTGCTGTCTGTGGCACTCTGAGGAGAGGATACAAAAGAGAAGACAAGGCCAGACTCTTCTCAACAGCGCACAAAAGCTGGCATATTTGAAGCTCTGATTACACAGAAGGAAACCACCTTTTAACCGCAGGCCGGTCAAATGCAAATCCCAGAGAGGCTGTGCAATCTCCAGCCGTAGAGCTATTCAGAGCTCACCTAGCAGAGCCATATTCAGAGCTCACCTAGCAGAGCCATATTCAGAGCTCACCTAGCAGAGCCATATTCAGAGCTCACCTAGCAGAGCCATACCCACCTCGTCTGGTGGATCTGTTCTGAAAAAAACACAACTACCATGACTTCCATGGGCCTCTTTCAACTTGATTTATTCCATGACTCTATGATCTAACCAACTATCTTCTTTTATAGTTTCCACACCCAACATCAAGAGATTCAGTTAAGATAAGGAAACTTTTAGTGTTCTTTGTAGAAACAACTTCTGCAAAATATTTTTTTTGTCTTGTTATTTTCTTCTGTTATTGCAGACAAGCTGCCTTGAAATATACTGCCAAACTGGAGCAACAAGACCAAAGGAATGCTGACCCTCCTTCCTGGCTCGGCTATGACAGGGATGGTAACATACCTTCACCAAAAAGCACAAGTGAGAACCTGGTTGAATGAATTCTTCAAAAGTAGAAGTGAAGAAATTATGCACCATCTAGAGTCGAAGTTTGGGTTTGTTTTTTTTTTGTCTGTTTTCCACAAGAACATGAAAAGAACACTGCATTATTTTTTCTTGAAATTAATCAGACTTCAATAACAGACCACATTGGATTAATAAGGATGTTCTGTAAATCTTTCTCACAGGGGCATGCACGCCTTCAAGCAAGACAGCTGCACTGAAACGACATTGCTAACTTTCACATGTTGATTCAAGCTGTCTTCATCTTTCAATGTTAAGAGGTTTTTGTAGTCTCCTGCAGAGTAAGTAATAAATAAATCTGTATGTGTTTAGGGCTTATTTGCCATCAAGGTTCTCCAGGACATAAACACTCAGACTTCCCACAGACCCTCCCCCGTGACACGGCTGGTACTCATCAGGTGCTTCTTGAACGTGCGAGAGCGATGAGGAACGGTGTCCAGGTAGCGGTGACCGCTTTGCCCATACACGACTATGCAGCACATTCAAGCCCTCCTCTACTTCTCAGCAGTCAGCTGCACACTCAGAGCACTAACTCTTATGAAGGCCTCTCGTGCTATGAATTCAGCTCTCTAAGCAAGCCAGTGCCTATACTTTCAGTTCTGAACTGCAGGCTAGCTGGCAGCTGACAAAGTCAGGAGCTTCAAAGGAAGGGGAGCACAGATGGGAAAAGTGCTACAGCCTCATTTTTCTCCAGTTGTAAGAACTCGTCTTCCTATCAAAAGGACAACAAAAATGACACGTGGGGCTTGCCATTTATATCCCAATTACTGATAACCCATTAATCTTTTCTTATCTAGAGAAAAAAAAAAAGTTTCACCTCATTATTAGAACAAGACATTACTCAGATGTCTTTTGGGTAATCTCCCAAACATTTATTTTTCTTCAACTCATTCTTGACCTTAATGTTAGAATTCTAGTGGTCTCAACAGTTACTCATTTAGAAAGAATACCACCACAGTAGCTCTACTGGTAGTGCAACTTTTCTAATGGCTTATTTAAGCTTCTATAAGCAAATAACTAGCTATCCTAATGTTTAATCACAGCAAGTTTTAGAATGCATTATTCTGCTTAATTTTGAACGAGAGGAAATCACATGCTTTCTCACTATGCCCTCCTTTTGATAGCCAATGCAGCAGAACCCCAAAACAAGACCTTAATCACAGATGCTAACAGGCTTTGTAATTAGGGTGAATAATAGAACCAGTAGCAGACTCAATTCTGTGAAATATCTACTACACCTTTTATTTCCAGCTACAACAATTTAGGAGCACTTCTTTCACTTTGTGTCTGCAGCTCATAAAGTATTAGTTTCAAAACTTTTTGAGGAAACCATTACGCATTTATTAACTGCATATCTTTTAACAGTATAATAATATTTAGTAATATTATATTCCTTTTAGTAGTGACATTACTGTTTCATATACTAGAGTATTAAATATATATATAATTTGCCATAGACATCAGAACAAACTGAACACACAATGGGAAACAGAATGTGAAATTTTTTAACCACTCTCAATTAAGTGAAAAAACTGCCCTTGATTGCTGCAGAACATTAGCAAGGGGCAACTATAGCCCTTGGGGAACATCATTTTATAAAGTTATGGTCTACAAACACATATACACAATTTAAAACCTGAACCGACAGTCCGAACTCTTCATTTCTTCTCTCCATCCATTCAGTTGGCAGGTAGTCCTGCATTTCAGCTGTAAAACACAAACTTCAGTACTTCTGTTATAAGGGGCCATATAGAAACAGAAAGACTTTTAAAAGCCCTTTTTATTTTACTGTGCATTTGTAATACGGTAACAAAATCCTCCTCAAAAATCACTGTCTCTTGTGCAGGGTGTATAAACTTCCCTTGCCTTCCTTCCTCCTCTGCCTTTCTGTCTCCATGAGCTTACAATCCTGTCATGCAAGGCTGATGATAAATGGAAATGTAGCAAGGAGATCACAGCTCTCATTTATTAGCTCAGTAGCTTTTACTTTGGGGAACACTGATATGATCTCATATCCAACATCCTGCTTGGTGGAGTGTTCTTCCTTGAAATCAGCCACACCTGTTGCACTTCGGAGTATTTATATCAAAAGCTTTTCTTTTTAGAAAAACTGCAGCATACACAGAATTGCTGAATCAGTCCACAAGGAGGTGATTCAGGACAACATGGAACATGTTTCTGTTTCATAGAAGCAGTTTTACACATACAATGCCTGCTGACAAAGCAGAAACAGCTCAGGGGTTAAAAACAAACAGAAAAACCGGTGATGAATTACAGTTTGAAAGTGGTTTTATCCTGCCCACAATACACATAATTTGATTGAAAAAAGAACTCTATGTTTTGCATAAACAATGGAAGTCCCACAGTAGAAAGATACTTTGCTAAAAAATATAAAATAGTTGGCAGAGCGCAGCTCCTTGGAAGTAAATTTTCATGTTTCCAAAGACCAGGAGGTGAAAGTGCTTTTTTTTCCTAATTTTCTTATTTTAAATGATGACTCCAAACTTTCGTTTGAAAGTTACCAGCTTTTAAGACTGATTTGGTGAGTGGGTCAGGTCACACAAATTCTGCATAGTAAGGCCTTGTAGCTCCTAAAAGGCACAAAAAGGAAACCAGACCCATTAATCACCAGCACTGTCACCAGCAAATCTTGGGTTAAAAAGTCCTCATTTTTAATATCGTTTCTCTCTTACATTAAGAATATGTATCAACAAAGTTTCATAATTCCAGAGAAAATGTTCCTTTACAGTTTCTTGACTTGATTGTTTTGACTATTTTGCCTTTAAGAAATCTTCAGCTTGACAGACTGAATCCAGCTTTGGCTTTTAAGGTACACTTTGCCACTTTGTGTGTCAGCCTTAATCCATTTGTCTTTTTCATTTCTTTGATTCATGTGACCTGGAAAAGAGAGTCCTGCTTAGTTCAATTTGTCACACAGTAAACATACCACCTTCACACCAAGCTCCTTGGAAACATTTCAGACTGTACCAAAATAGTCTTTATGCAATTTTAGCTGGGGCTTCTGACATTTCCTTTTTGATACAGTTCTTTGTATTCATCCCATTTCCCTTAATTTGTTGTTACATTCTTTACTGTGTTATTTATTATAAAATATCATAGGCTAGAAAATATGTCTACATTCAAGGTAGTTTGAAGTTGACATCTCTTTTGTAAGCATGGAAGAGAGATGCTGGTAAGACCCAGTGACCCAAAGGACAAAACATGTTGTCAATATCACTGCTTTCTTATGTCAATGGCTTAAAAACAAAACAAAACTGAGATGTCTGTCTTCTATGTTTCATCTAAACTCAGTAAGAAGGGTCTGAAAACACTCTGAAAACCTCACTCTGTAACAAAGACGAAAGTTGAACTTAACCCCATTTTACAGATCAGAAACTGAGGCCAACAGAGATTAAGTGACCTTCCAAATTTATACAGAAGGTTTCTGACCAAATTGGGAATTAAACTGAGATCTTTTAGTCCCATATCTGTGCCTTTATCAGAAGACCAACCTTCATTTTGGTTTATTTTTACAAAGTGCCTTTTATTGTTATTTCAGCGTTCGTGTAACTGAGTGAATTCTAAGTTTAGAACTAATCTGAGCTTGGAATAGCATGTGAGATGGCAGGGAAGCAGATTCTGAAGCAACTTTGCAAACATGCTCCGCTCTGACCTGTAACAGAGCTGAAGTAAAATTCTGGCCGTGTCAAAAGCAGTGGCAAACCTCCAACTTACATCACTGCATTGGTTTCTACAACTCAAGCCAACATGCAGAATTTTTCAATAATATTTCAGCTTTTTGGTACAGCTAAGTGGGATTACTTGATGGCAATGGGCCAAGGCCAATACTAGCAGGCTGAAGCACGGTTCAGCAATACAGGATTTTCAGAGGAGTCTCATGCTGACCAAGTTCTCCCACTGAATGAAGAAGGATTTCAGTATTCTTTCCTAACAGGCTGCAATGTGCCTTCAGGGATCTCCATGAGGATGTCCCAGTACAACTTCTGCCCTCCTGGTTGCACAAGGTAGCAGAGGCCTCAACTACACCACTTGCTTACTGCATCCTTTCTACCTGAAGGCAGTGGCAGTACGGTAGAATCCACTCCATCTAATCAGGGATTTAAAATACATCTACAATGATCACTACAAAGCCAGGCAATGCACTGTATATGAAATCTGGTAACATCTGAAACAAGGAGAGTCTCCATGTATCAAAAAAAAAAAGAACCAACAAAGTAACACAAAGGAAAATTTCACCTGATCCCTTCACAGAGTTCTGCAGCACTGAAAATGCAGCTGTTTTTCTAAGAGGAGAAGACACAGCATTTACAGGACAAAGACGTTTTCTCAGAAAGCGCCCATTGGAGTGCTTGGCCACAGCCATTTCCTCTCTCGTTTTTTTGTCACCATGTCATGTTGTTCTGTGGAAGGAACAAAGGCTGAAGCACAGAACCAGCCCTGTAGATGATCTCACCCTGCCACATTTCTGCTAAAATTTTAATGGAGAGTTTTGGAGAAACACAAAAACAAACTGAGTCATTTCAAAGCTCAGTTGTAGTCTGAGCTCTGTTTCTCATTTTGTATTTGCTATGTGAACTTAGAAAAATGTTCTGTTCCTTGTGCTTCTTTTGGAGATTTGCCCATGAACAAATGCAGGAATATAAAACTGCCTGCAGCAAACTCAGTATCAAATTCCATTCCCCGCGGATGCAGATCTTCAAAGTATCTTAAGGTTATTAATCCTATTGCAGTAGCAGCTTCAAATCAAGCTTAAGATACTTAAATTGTTTTGTGTAGGAGGTGCTAATCAAGCAACAAAACTGAAGTTGGAGATTTCTTGATCACAATTTGATCTTAATGATACCCAACTGCCTGTACTGTGGGAACGTTAAGCGGGTTTTGAGGATGACTTTTAGCATGATTAAATCACAAAAAAGCATTTCAAAACCCACCAGTCAAGGCAACAGCATGAGCTGAGGGAAAGACAGATGCA